TCGTGGTGGACATATTCAAGCATTCAACCATTGGGACAGATTCCATCCACCCATGAATTCTAGCCTGTACGAGTTTGTTTGTAAATAAAGGGACAAAGGAGGTTTTGGTGATTCTTGTGATAATGTTCTTAATTTCTTTTGTAGCTATACTGAGATATTTTAGATAGATAGAGGCGGTCGTCAGGAATAATAATAATAATAGCTTTATTCCAAACTTTACTTCAGGTGCAAATATGGAATTTTCAGCATGCAATTCACTATTGTATCTTACTTTCTCTTTACAGGGGCAATAATTAGATATACGACATTTATATTAATAACATCGTCCGATAAGAAATGAATGTAAAACTAAATCAAGTGAGAATATTAGCGACAATGTAAAAATGAGAGCAAAATAAATTCCAATTACTTAGAGTCCCTAAGTAAGTTGGTAATTTCCTGTCTTGCACACATACAATGTGCTTAGTCGTCCGGTCATACAGTCTTCTAGAGTTGCTTTTAGTTGTACCCAATGAGATGCAAGGAGAGAGCTGTGTGTATGGAGAGAATGCTTAGAGTCTGACAGGACAATATTTGGTAATTTCTTGCAGGAATCCAAGTTGGTTTAACAACACCCCAGTTGCCCTACTGATGGCTTTCAGTGCCCTATGCAGTATGAAAAGTCTTTCTTATGTAGCCCGTGAGGGATTCAAGTGTGGGAAGCAGTAAAAAAGTATAGGCAGTATACAAGAATTAACAAACTGTAATCGTACAGACAGAATGAAAGCAGATCGTTTTACCTTCCTTAGATAGAGCTTCAAACGAAATATCTTTCTGGAAAGTAACATGATGTCAGAGGACCAGGAAAGATTATCGGAGAAAAATCACAGTCCAAGGAAGCTTTACTTGGCCTACCTGTCATAATTGCCTACATTCGTCAACGAGATATCCCTATAAGCTCAGCGGAACTGATGTCCGAAAATGAATTTATGCTTGATTCCTTGAGTACCATTTACAGTCGTTAGAAGATCGAATATTATGATCTGAATAATTTCGGTTCGCAAATGAAACTACAGTGATATTTCATCTTGAACTGTGTACATTGCAAACTGTAAATATTATCTACTGCATTAGCTGTTCCCCCAAGTAGCTAGCCAGATTTTGGTAGGTTTCAACTGAGATCTGTCAGCTGACTCGACTGATGAACTCTACACATATACTCATAGCAAGTACTGCTTGTTGATATGTGAATGGCACCCAACTACTCATACCAATAAATCAGTAGTATATACGAGCTGATAACCCTGTGGAGATTCTAACCCGCGTCACCCATAGCTGCATTTAACGGCTTTGCGACTGACTTATTCGAAATCACAGTTGACCCCTTATAGGACCATAATGGCTACACGAAAAGATCACTAGAGAGAAGCTGATATTGTGTGTCTAGTCCTTAGTGTGTGTTGGTATTGAGTGAATTCCATCAATCTCCTAGACATGGTGACCACCTTGTTTACGTTCTATTCTAATTCTAAACGAATGGATTAAGACGTCTAATGGCTTCTTAGAAATCTTTGATTTTGGGTAAGGTAATCAGTCCTCTTGGTTGATGATATCTATCAAGCAGAATCCAGAAATTACATTGTCTCACCCCTGAGACTACAAACCCATCCAGTACTCATCATATCAGACACCTGAATGTTATCAACCATTGGTCACTAGCTGGGGATACAAGTACGTTCAAATGTTAAATTCTAAAATAGGACGAACTGGGCATCCTGAATTCCACTTCTGGAAATTGTCATTAGCTAGATGGCATCATTTTAGTTATCAGTTATAGTTGACGTATTCTTACCTCTAGCAGGCAACATGTCAACAGAGACCGAGCATTTTGAGAACTCAGTTAAACAATGAGAAATTCACGTCAACTTGAATAAGTAATCAGTTGTGATAACTTGTTTGTTCCATATTCTACTAACTAATATTTTTTGATGCTCATAAATACCTTGGATTACGTCTTTCCTTCGGTCGTTCCTGGTCTTCTCACATTATGTTAATTTCTAAGAAAACAGTCTGATATCACTCTTGTATTCTACTTGTTTTGCTTTATTGTTTGCATTCATTTGTGTGTCAAGTGAAACAAACGGCTTGAAAATTGAGTTCTGAAGTTACAGTAATAATAACGAAATGACAAATCGGTCTCTGTAAGTGTTTCCAGTTGAGGAGAGAAAGTTTTGCTTTCCTCTGGTTGTCCAGAAACCTTTTCTGATAATTAGCATCAATGAAAGCCAGCATCACGCAACACTTCCTTCTACATCGTTTCGGTACAGTATTTTCTGCTCAACGAATTGCATATTATTATTTCTAATACTGTTATTTATTCCTTGCCCTCAAAGTGGAACTCCAGGCTTTAGAGTTTTAGTAGAACTGGGATTATTTTTTACGGGTTGGGACTGCTAACGACGCACCACAGCTTGCGGGCTTTTCCTGTCTTAAATCAACCAAAGAAACTAGGCGAAGTTAGATGACACCATATATACAAATGTATATTATTCGGTCTAGAAATAGCCGAAGGATTCACAATACCAAGAGTGTTAAATAATCTATTTTCAGAGGGAGCTTCTCTGCTTTCAGAAAAAAATTGTCCTCTAAGCAACAAATGAGAGTCTTAGAAACTGCTAGAAATGTGATCAGAAATCAATGAAACTGTGTTGATTTAACTGGATGAATATTCCTTTTGGGACATATACTAAATGGCTGAATGTTGATCCGTAGAATTGTGGTGTTCTAAATAATGCTTTATGTGTCACTGGATCACTCAACAGCCACGCATGTGGTAATCCCCACCCGCGAGACTCGTCAACCTCGTGGCGTTTACTGGGAAAAAAGGGAAGTTTAAGCGAGTGGCTAGGAACAAAAGCAATACCACTGCTATTGGAACTTCATAGCTGAGGCCTGAAGTCCTGTGTTCCACTCGGAACCCAAAGGTTTAAAAAAACACCTATGAAATATTGCTTAAAGCGATTAGTTCCCTTTATGAATTTTGATGAAACAATAAATAAGAAGAAGGTGTAGTTTATCAAAAATCGTTTAATGCGTATTTGTGTAATACATTTGGGACATTGGAATGACACACACATACACACAAACACACGAGTACTTACCGTACATGTTTTTAGGCGTTAAAATGTTTAGGCGTCGAAATCGTAGATGGTGGTCAAGAAAACAAGGGAGTGAAAACATTACTTCGCAAAATGAATCTTGACCTTAAAATTAAATCACCAAATGTGCTCGAAACGTCATCAATTAATATTACTGTATAACACTGTAAGATTTATCAAAGTAAAATCTTGTACGTAATGGAGTTATACTGTACCACAGTGCCCAAGTTTTATACTTATATCAATTTTTCCAAACTCATACAAATGAGTTTTAGCCTTTTTGTGGCTCAGGCTCCAACGAATTTGATTATATAACTCAAACGTGTTTTATATATGCTTTTAAAGCAATTACCGATGTGCATTGCGGTAAATGACAATGAACATGTACCTTCCTGAGTAAATTCAGTCAGGCGATTTTATTTGTTTCTGCAGATAATTAGAAATGTATCTTGTAGTTCTCATCTGAGGAAATCAATGTGCGTGTGACCACACTTGGATGTAAACTGATACACACAATGGGTTCTAACACTAGCGTTCAGATGCTCTCAGGTTTTACAGGACAAATTGGATTTTGTTTACTTTGTGAACAGAAGTTTAGATGTATAGCGAATTCGTTTGAGTGCTGCTGTGAGTTTTTGTTTAGTGATCAGAATCTCGTCGTCAACATTGAATGATAAATGAATGGTTGAATTAGTTGAACTCTTTGTTTGACGTTTCTGTAGAGTTTACTGAATTTTAGGGGATAGTTATTATCTGATAATATTATGAGGTGATGTACTTTTAGAATAAAGATTTAGTTCACTCAATTATATTTTCACTCCCTCGTCTTTTTTCTTACCTTATCTCATGGTCTTATCTCTTGTCCATGATCTTCGCTCATAAACGTTTTGAACTATTTTATTGAAAAAAACTCTAATCCCTTGCATTCTATTACTTTTTATATGAAAAACTTTGATGATTACCTGTGTGTGTGTGATCAGAATATCCTAAATGTGTTGCGCAAATACGTATCAGACATTTCAGGTGAACTTCATCTTTTTATCGTTTTGTTCAAACACAATTTTTAAAGTGTATTGCGCATCAGTGGTTCAGGGGCGCAATGCTCACGAGCCACATACGTGGCAGAGGTTTGACTCAAAGTCACCGAAGTACTCCTAGACCTCTCCTAGTTTACTCGGAGAAGAAAAATACGATGTGACTATTAACCCTATCACATAAAAGTAATATCACCTCTTCTGGAACTCCACAGCTCAAGTTTTGATGCCATGTGTTTCACCAGGGACGCAATGGACTCAAAAAAGTTCACTGTTTCAAGCTTTTGGTCGACAAAGACAAAAATATCCGATGAAGACTATTTTTTCATGCTTGTTTTTATCTTTGGTTCCAAAAGAATATATAACTGTAAAAATTAGTATTCAGTGTTGTGTATGACATCGTGATAACAACACCCTCAATTGACTTGTATTTGTTGTCTGGATGACAGGAGTAGATTGCTAGCGTTCTTCAGTTAACAGTTTGCAACGTCCACGTCCATTCCACCTACTCTTAACGGTTCCAAACATTTCTATGACTGTTCTTCTTGTTTCTTCATTAATCTGATCAACTTTATCAGCTAGTCTGAAAAGGATATTCTATGACATCAATCAATAAAGTCTTTAGCTGTTATTGTAAGCTACATAGTAAGGCATAGACTGAGTAACTGGGTTCCTTAAGATGCTAAGAACCAATCGTGTGATAGGGCGTGCAATCGTTGTCTATGGCATCGATTCCATTTACTCTTTATAATCACCTAGATCCGTTAAATCCTCATATTTCACTATGTTATACTTATCACCTTATTTTATTTTGTTTTTGTCTGCTCAGGTGAACAAGAACGTGTACAGAAGAAAACATTCACCAATTGGTTGAACACATATTTATGTAATGTAAGTGCATCCGCATTAGAAAACGGTATCTACAATTTCATTTTTATCTAACTCTGTTGGAAGTAATTGAAAATACTTTTTTGGGGATATATAATGTTTAATAATAATAATAATATTAACAGCTTTATACCAAACGGTATTTATGGTACAGGTATAGAATTTTCAGCGATATTTGGATTGGACATTTGAATCGCTAACGGTTCTGTCATACTTTGTTACTACCAGAACCAACTCGTTGTGATCTGAGATCATGATACCGATCTCTGTGTCCTACCATATAGCTAACAGAACTCTCTAGAGACAGGTGCAGTCAGGAAACGCTTCACCGACGGAGAAAATATGATTATTCCTAGATAACTTCACGGTTCTATTAGACAAAAATAACATAAAAAGCTCAAAAATAACTTAACAGTACTGTTAGGAAGCTATACATACCAGTCTAAATACAAAACGAGTACTTAGATTCCAGTTGAATATACCTAAGAAGATGGGATCAAAATGTCTGCCCACAAGAAGCATGCACCGGCGCTTCCAGTGAAAAGACCTTCATCCACATAAACAAAACCACATCTTACAACACATTACCAGTGTACACACAACCACAAAGGGAAGCATTAAATAAGAGATTAAACAAAAAAAGACAAATAATAAAAATCGAATGAACACATGGTATTCAAGTGTCAAAGTGAGGACATACAGTCTAGAAGAAAAACATAATAATTGCAAAGTTTGTTGAAAGACTCAAATAGGTATAAACCGTGGGACCGCTCAGGAGGAATTTTCTAAATAATCTATCCGTTAAATGCTCCTTCAGGGTTTTAGATCAGAGTGAGGTCAAGAAATCTGGACATAGCAGCAGCAGTGTTATTCTTTCTTTGAGTACCGAATGGAACACACGTCTTTGTCACACATCTTTATTCTAGTCGGTTGTCTTCCATCACTTTCACTTTGCTCCATGACTGACGAGAAGCTTTCATTTCCTCCTACTCATAAATCTTCTTGATATCGCCCTCGTGGACCACGTCCAACTCGTCACTTCCCATTCAGGTTCCATTCGAAGGAGTTCCTAGCATGTGATGTCAATTGAATATCTCTTCTGAATATGTTCCATTCATCTATCTCCACCTCCTTTTGTAAATCTGTTGGCTGGTTGACTACCTATTACAGTTCTTCTTTACTCGATTATCCTCTCTGACAAGCTGGCCTCCTAATGTGGCAACGAAGACTACAACAAGGAAAAATGACTCGCTAAACTTCCAACACTTTAGTCAATTTCGTTATCTTATCCCATTTCAAACGACCCATATATGTATTACTCTTTCTTTTATCATTATTGTCTTAATTTTTTGAGAATAAAATGGGTTTTACTACGGATCAAATCCTCCATTTACAATTCACATACTTCCACGTGAAATTACGTCGGTTTCCTTTGGAAACTGAGATTACTCTGACCACACAATATGTGCTCTAGCCAAGTAGCTAGGCAGAAGTGCAGTAATTTCAGCTGACTCGGCTATCTGTAAGCTTCGTTGAACCTGTGCTTGGATCACTTCAGTGATCCGACTAACAAGGATAACTGGCGGGTGCGGGTAGTATCCAACTACCGTCATCAGGAACTCAGTAGTATATAGCATCATGACGTTTACTTTCATTGAGTTAAAGGTCTCCATGAAAATTTTTCTTTTTCAAGGAAATAATAATGGACAGTTCAGCGGAGAAAATATTTTATCTGCCAATGAAGTCAACTTTAAGGGCTGCATGTACAAATGTGTTTCATAGTAGTTACTGAAAAAGCATATCAAGGTAGTCTGTAACTGAATATTCGGCGGGGAGATGTGGTGGGTGTGAAGTAATTGATACAGGCATTGAGAGGCAGTGGTTTCTAAAGGTAAAAAGAGACTGGATAGTATGATCAACGACATATAAAGAAAGTAAGCATTTGAAATCTGATTAGGCGTAAAACGTAAGTAGATGTTAAATAAGGTGTTTAAGTACCACTAAGTGATATGCATATCGAAGGCTAGAACAAATCATTGACTAGTTAAATGTAAAGGGGATATATAAGACTAATAATGCTGAATAACGTATTTACGTGAGACACGCAAGAGGTCAGAGTTTCATTCGCAGCATTCCTAAACCTTACCGCTGAGTAGTTGTGGAAAATAGGGGAGGTTGAGAAAGAAGATAAGCAAATTCACTGTGTAAAATAATAAACCTCTACTCTCAAAACTTCAAAGCATAGAGTCTTATGTTTCAGTCGGAACGCAAGGGAATGAAAAAAGCAGTTACCTGAAATAGAAGCAAATAAATATGAAGGAGCTTATTACAATGGTAGAATAAAAAAACTGAGCGAACCTATTCCACAGTGAGAGGTGGTAGTGGTGTTGAAAAATCTTTAGCGCCACCGCCATACACCCCGTTTACTGTCTCAACCTACTGTGTACATGAATTTAAAAGTGGTCTTCCGTGTGCCTCTACAGCCCAATTTCACCAGGGTTCTTCGATAATCGAGGTGGTAATAGACTTACATTATCCTCTTGATAACAACACCAGAGAATGTTCTGGTTCTGGCGTTGGCTTGTAAACTGTTTGCTACATTCGGTCGGTATAACTAAATCACTACTGAAATGGCCAAAGTGGCGATCTTGGCCTGGCAAGTATTGATCACCCTTTTTAGTTGTTTTTTGTTGTCGTCACAGTTGGAAAACGATATCATCACTTTTTATTAAATCCAATGTTATTTCATTTCTAGGCTAATCCACCCTTGAAAGTACACGATTTATTTGAAGATATCAAAAATGGAATAATGTTGATAAGGATTTTAGAAGTTCTATCCGGACAGAAGTTGGTAAGTTTGAGAATAGTACATAATCTGAATATGTAAACTTTTGAAATAACTATTACCATGAGTGTCTCGTAATTTTCAAGTGTAGATTTGTAGGGGAAAATGAATCCAATTCCCACTAGTGACTGACTACAGAATGATATTGTCTGAGCTTCTAGTGTGAAGTCATGAACGGTGGGGTCCACCAAGTCGTTGGGTGACAGTGAATGAAGACAGTGACTAGTGGCAACGATATACATATATATATATATATACTTTGCGTTGGCAAGAATTACAGTTCATAGACTAGTGGATTAAGTCCCAGTGTCTGACTGGCTAACAGGATTGTCTCGTGATCAAAATGTTCTAGGTTTGACCCCTGAAGGTAGGATCATAGGTAGGTACTACTGAGGAGTCCAGAGCTGGAGCGAAGCAGTTGTACAGTACTCCGTGATGGTTTTCAAAACTACTTCACCCAATATAACAATTTGCGGTGTACGTTGCCTTATAATTACAGGAGTGTTCGCGAAGGAAGTTTTTACAGGATCGTAATAAAGAAGTAGGACGACATTAATAAATTTTGAATAGTATTAGTTTGGCAAAATATTGTAAATTGTAAAGTTAGAGAGCAAAAATACGCAGTTCAGCAGAATAAATCTTCTTTCACAGTTTATATACACAATTTATCATAGTTATGGTTATTATTAATATTACTTAATTTTACATAGTTTCTAAGGTGAGATATAAAGAAGATAATAATTCTTCAAACTGATATGAAAGTTCACAGTTATAGTGAGAGATAAATATTAATCTCAAGGGGTATGGTGACCAGAATAATACAGTAACCAGTATAATGTGTCAAGTCCTTTATTTGGTGCAGACTGAATGCTACCAGTAAAGTTTGCAATGTGCCTCAGAAGGGACATGAGTTCCTTCAAGGTTGGAGATGCGTCTAGCTGACGAGTACCATCTAGAACGAAACATAGGTCCAGGGCATTCTGCTGATTACCTCCAACTATTTAGTATCAACAGTTCATTCAAAGCAGGTGTGACCAGAAAGACATAATAATTGATAAAAATAACATTTTTATGACCTAATGTGAGAATAGCATTTTGAAGGAATATCGGTCATGATATAGATATGTAAATTGAAATATCTTCCTTTGAACATTTCTTTATGCATATTGCTATGATTTATGCAGCAAAAAGAAGTCAGAAGCATACACATTCTTCGATAGATTTCTGTGTCTCATATAAATGACTCTGAATGATAAATGGGTTGGGATATTGTAACAGAAGCTGATGTGGTGTTCAGTTAGAGAACTTCTGACTGAACCAGTGCTGCCTGTTTTCCAGCCATGCTTGAAAGGATGCACGAATTTCCGTTCATTAAGGTTTCTTAGCACTTTTCTCCCTACTTTTATGCCTGCTTTTATGAGATATGACAACTTGTACTATGGCACCTTTATACAAAGTTCCATTTTTAGAAATCGTCCCAGTTGAGTTCATGGCTTAGCAGTTTAATAAATAACTCTTTGTCGATTAAAGAGATGACCTCTGGGTTTCAGTGCCAGAGGGAATAAGGGAGGATAGAGGTACATTCATCTGATACAGTCAGAAGACGAATTGTAGTGTCACACCAAGTTATGAATGTTTAATGGAGTCGTTCCATTCCCAATGAGCTTGGATCTCTTTGGACAGAGAACTTCTCATCTAGTCTAGTCTAAAGATCTATGTGTTATGAATCGCTGGTGCTGAGGACGATAAGAGTTTTACTCACAGGAAAATTAAATTGGATCAGATTATTTTTGACATTTCATTAATTACTTAACTAATTAACTAACTAACGTTTCTAGAAAAATGGTAACTATTCTCTCACAATCACATGAAATATCCATAATTACTGTTAACAGACTACATACATGCTTAGCATGATCTGGATAGTTGACAAGATCTTATTACTTTCAGAGGTATGTGTATGACAGTACGTGTTTATGACATGTCAAACATGATTAATCAAGATTTACAATGCTACTACGAATACCACTCATACTACTACTATTATTTACTTAATACCAAGTAGTCACTACACCTTGTTCATGTTTTGTCTTATATTTATTTGTTCTCATACCTACAGAAAGCTGAGACTCGTCCTCAAATGCATAGAATTCATTGTCTGTCAAATATTAAAACTGGATTGGAATTTTTACATTCCAAAAATGTAAGTTGACACCTGCTCTTTTTCACTAATATACTACAGGATTCATTATGACATCGTTATATATATATATATATATATATATATATATACTTCTATCCTTAATTGTACTGTAATTAGTGTAACAGCCGATTAATTGTCGATGAGAATAAGCATCTGTTTATGGGTGTAAACTTTCTTACGAAGTGACTATCATTCAGAGAATGTTTTCGAAAATTTAGAAGACACGCATTGAACTGGTGTTTGGTCCTAGTTTGGAACTCTTCTTCCCTTTCTCTTTGGCAGTGTACATATTTAGTGCTCATCCGTAAGGAATTAAACTCACGACCTTACTTTGAACCTAAATATATTTTTACAATGAAAACATTCGAGTGTTGTTGATGGCGATGCTTTCCACTGTTGGTGTGTTCACTGTATCGGATTAAATTCAAGTTTGCCTAATAGATAAATTTATTTGATATAACTAACATACAGTGAGTGATGCAGCATGAATAACTGGATGACGTATTGGACACATTTTATTGCCATTCATAATCATATCAATGTATTTCACACAACGTGATAACTTGGCTTCATAGAGCCTTATTCACTCTTGTTTGTCTAATAAGATTCTTCACATACACTGGTTAAGCGTTCCATCATTTCAATTACATGTGTGTTGGCGTCGATTCGATGAATTAATAATGACTAGATGAGGAAGGGCAGAGGTTAATCTCCAGACCTTTTTTCATCGAATTAACACCACCATACATGCAGTCGAAATAGTGCAACGCTTAAAGCAGTATATATATATATAATTGCATTAAGATATAAGAAGGGGTTCATTAAGGCTACAAAAATCAAGTTAAGATGTCATGCAAGTGTGTTGATATGCCTGTAGGCAGCAATAAATTCTGTTGGAAACATCCCTCAGTTATTAATACTGTGTCACTGTATGCATGTGAATTATATCGAGTGTACTTATCTGTCTATGAAATAATTATTATTGTACAACACGGTGTCCAAATTCAAAATTTGTTAATTACACATTTCGACCTGAGAATTCACTACAGTTTCCATTGAAAGAAAAATAATTTGAGCTGACAACTGCAGTTTCAACAATTTCTTCAGATTCTTCAGTGATAAATCTATAAAGGTTGGAGAACAACAGTACGCTAGCATAATGGAATAAATATTATTATATGACAAACTGTAAGGGGGTATCAGTAGAAGATGGAATAATAGTGGTCTGTCAGTTGTGAATGGACAATTAAACCCATATAAAATAAATGAAAAATCCCCATATTGAAATCAAAACAAGATTTTGAGCGAACACAATTGTGGTTTCGATAACTTCTTCTTCTTCTTCAGGCTCTACAGTTAGGTATAAATCCATGAATATTAGAGTACATATAGACAGCCAATAAAGGCGAATGAAAATAATATCAGAAACTGTATTGGGGTGCAACTGTGTAAGCTGAGATGATGACAGTTCATTAGTTAACCTAGTCAATTAAATGTGTATAGGGTGTATAGTCAGTCAGGAAAAATGTGATGAAGTGTGAATGAACAATTGGGTGATATAGTGTTGCTTTATAGTTAACAGAATACAAGTGTCCCTGGGGTGAGAGAAATGCGATAACTACAAAATGCATACAAATAAACATTAACAAAGGAGGCACTGGGTGTGAGGGTTGACCGATAATGTCTAAAGATAAAAGAAAGAGCCTAAATTGTAATAAGATGTTACAGATTTGGTAGGCTTAGTATAAAATCATAAAGGTCGACAAAATAAAGAGGTGAAACAAACTGGGTGGAGAAATGGATAATAAAGACATGATATCACAAAGTGATAATAATGATAATAATAATACGAACAATTATGAACCTGGTGACCTTATAGTGGGCCAGGGTAGACAAATAGAATGAATAAGTTTTTTCTGTACACATAGGTCTGGTCTCTCTCTATTAATTTCTAAAGCCCCCGCTATGGCTAGGAGGCGTAATCGAATGCCTTTGGGGAGATTGTTCGGTACTCGATACACAACTGTAAATGACTCATCTACTTTGATGCTGTGTTCGCTATCCACTAGATGAGACAGAATTGCACTATTTAGTGATTTGGTTACTCTTTTCCCAAGCCAAACAGGAATATGTTCACGAGTGCGTAAAGTGCGTCGGTGCCACAGTGGTTAGGACTCTCGCCGACCAAGCACATGGTCTGGGTTCGATTCCCTGCCGACGCACACCTGATATCAATGGTCGGCCTGCAAAATTTGGGCTACCGATATCCATGCTGAAAATTCCACACTTGTACCAAAAATACAGTGTGGAATCAAGCTGTAATCTAAAAAATAAATAAATAAAATAAAGATAAATTCCTCTGGGTACGAGCTATATAACTAGCTCCACAGGAGCAGTTGAATTTATATACACACACTGATGTCGCCATTTTGGATAACCTATCTTCAATGCACAGTGTCAATGTCGGCTTAATTGAGAAACTGATATGCAGTTTTGCGGCATTAAAAGGTCTTTCAAATGATCTCTTTAATCTACGGTTTAATATATCGCTGGATATATCGCCTTTGAATTGTATATTTAAGAAAAGCTTTTTCTTACTTACTATGTCTCGCTTAGTTTTACGTGTAGTTTCATAGATATACGTTTTTACAAAGTTGGTAGGATAGTCGTTTTGTAGCAAGACGTTTGTAGGATTTCTTATTTCATCTTCAATACAGTCATCGATACATATGCGTCTAAATCTATGACTAAGACAACGAATTAGTTTGCGCTTATGTTGTATAGGTATGAAGCTATGGAAGTGAGTGTATTGTCTGTCCCACGTCGCTCTCTTATAGATGTTTCTTTTTAAGGTGCCATTTGTTCTTTTTGTAAGAAGAACATCCAGAAATGGAATCCTACCTTGGACTTCCTCTTCAGAAGTGAATTTAATAGCTGGGTGTACCTTATTGAAGACTTGGAGCAGGTGTTGTCTATCCAGATTATTGTTACAAATGATAAAGGTATCGTCAATATATCGAGAATAATAATCGAGTTGGACCCATATAAAATATATAGTCATTAAGAACATAAGACAAAATTTGAATGAACAACCATGTAACCTGCTTATGTATTTACTGTAGCCAAAAACATGGGCAACAGATGATATGAAAGGATATATGGGCACTACAAATATATACATGAACAAAGATTGTAAGTTGAATGCAAGTTCGAAGGCTGAGAAGTACCAAGTATAACGGTAAAATGCAGTTGTCATTCAGTGAGCAGTAATCAAACAATAGAGAAAAGATATGCTTAGTGTAAATCCAAGGGGGAGGGACATAGTAAGACAGAAAAATATGAGATGATTACTTCTATGATTACATTATAATAGGCCAAGCGGAACATAAAAGATGAATGGTATTGTCTGGGCACACATAAAGTCAGCAATGGTTAGGAGGCCTAATCCCATGACTGATTCATCTGTTTCGACGCAGTGCTCACCATCCATTAAGTGGCACTATTGACTCACTTGGTTACCCCTTTTACCAAACTAAACTGGTACCTATTCAGGAATGCGTAAAAGTAGATTTCCGATTAAAAAAATATTTAGATCACAATGTATAATCCACCTTATACCATAAATTGTAATCAAAAACTAGCATAACCGTTTGAAAGTATATACTACTCATTCATATCAGTAGTTCAAAATCACTTACATAAACCAGCATTTTCTCCCTCACACTGGTTATTTAACAGCTGTAGGAACGAAGCAGACATGTCGTTGCGTCATGCGATATACTGTTGACGATTATTTTACTTGAAGGTTTGCTAAGAGGAGTAAATATCTGGCAAGTAAAATGACATCGAGAACTCTGTAATTTATGTTAACATTTTCGGCAAAGTTGAATTTTGGCTACCCAAGACGTTTCGTCGCACTACTGACCTTGGAGAGTGTAGCTGAGCTGTAAAGAAAATTTGGTTCCGTAACTCACTCCTAAATCTTGTCTTTTCTTAACTTTAACCTGATCTACCCCTTACAAGTTCTAATATCTGCCGAATTAAGTTGATCTTTCCTAAACCTAACCCAAAACTAGTTATATGTCCTATCTAATATCAGTACATTTTAATCAGTACTTTTTTCCATGAATACAGTGTTAATTACGCAGTTGCATTGCCTTACTCTGAATTGGCGTTCCAGGGTTATTAGTGTGGTGTTTGTGCCCGCTGGGTGTCTGAAGTTCAACTTCTCCACATATTGTTCAGAATAAAGCTCCTGTATATCAAAGTGCTATTCCACCTCTCTCTCTCTCTCTCTTATATTTAATATTTTCTCTTCATAAAAGGTGAAATTGGTCAACGTGAATCCAACAGATATTGCTGATGGGAAGCCAGCAATTGTACTTGGTCTTATATGGGTTATTATACTTTATTTCCAGGTAAGTCTACTACTTGTTCTCTGCATAACGGAAAAGAGACCGATAGCATTACTACTAGCGAATTGAGTAATTAGTATAACCTTCTCACAACTAACGGAAACTATCCTCTGGTGACTAACAGTCTTGATTTAAAGTGTTGTGAAGGTTATGCCGTAGGTGTAGGAGAATCTTTATTAGGAAAAGAGAGGAGGCGCGTACTGAAGTTGTATAAGCAGATACGCACAATGCGATATGCTTCAAGTACTACACATACTGCTACTCGTATTAATGCTTCTACTCTCCCTCGCACTCATAGTCATTGTCTTGCTCATTCTACCACACTTCTACCCTAAATCTTACTCCAGTTTCTGTTCCAGCTTACACTCCCAAGTCTTTTCCTATCCCTGACCCTGTTGCTACTGCTAATTATACTCTAAATCCTGCTTCTGCTTCCGCTCCTACCCACACCCCTAAACCTGATTATACTTTTAATCCTATTTCTGTCCTTATTTTTAACATTATTCATGCTGTTGCTAATGCTGTGCTTATTCCTACACCCGCAAATAGACTTATACTTATACTTCTCCAGATTTAGCTAAACATTCATGCACGCGCTTCTGGCCATGCTTCTTCTCCTATTCCTACTTTCATTCCTGCTACAACCTAACTTATTCTCCTACTCCTCCTCTTATTCTTAAAAGGGGATACGTTTCATAAGCTGATTTTGCACTTGAGGTCTACACCCGCACACTTATCGTAATTCCATGCCTGTGTGTGTGACTGTTTGTTCTAGTATATGTAAGTGGACTGCGATAATTTTTTTTTCCTTGATTGTTGCAAAGTTGATCCCTGTAAAATATTTTTTTGTAAGCTGACGGTGTATGCAGCTTAAATGCTCAAAACATTAAAATGAGTGTGATAATCCAGTTTGCAACAATATTTCTACTGGTGTGATAATCCGTATTTAAAGTCTATCTATCTATCTATCAACATGAATTTCATTAGACCTCGTCATGAGTTAGAGGACTACTGAAAACCATTGATCACTGAACACAGTGGTTCATATTCTAGTTTTTGACTTATGTCTTCAAGATCCTGAGTTTGACCTGTGGTAAGGTCAAGAGGATGAAATAGCTGTCTGACACTCCCTCGTTTTCCATGTTACTCAAAGCCACGTCAGCCAGCGACCAAATCTAAATATGAAATCAGATAAATCACCCAAAAACAGGACACCTGAAAATTATTATCAATATAAATGCAATTTTTTTAAAACTCTTCTACAGATCGAAGAACAAGAAGAATTACTACTGAAAATTTTAGATCTTCCAGCTGGTTCACTAAAAACCAGAGGTTCGGCTAAACGTGCCTTACAAGCATGGGTTCAAGAAATTTTCGCAGGGTGAGTTGAACTAGACCATGATTTCAATAATTATAGATTTCAGATCAGTTTTGTATTACACCTTCCCTAGAATTCATTGTTGCATAAGAGTTAAATTACGGAATAAATTTTTCATCTTGATGCTAACATATACTACTAACTGACTAATATGAGTAGTGATTCGAAACTATTAACGTTAGTAAGTAGTCATTATTCTTCACATCATCGATGCTATGTAAACATAGGACCTCCATTTCAGTGGTTGAGTTCATTGGCAGTAAACTCGTATTCAGTGAGTTCAAAGAGGCGAATCACTTCAGATCAAAGAAAGTTTAGCTATCTGACCACATGGAATAAAAGGTCACTTAGAGTAAAACTCGTCACACAACTCTGAGTAAGATATATTCACAGTTTCTTTTTTTTCCTTCACGTTCCCCAGTGGAACATGAAGCCTCAAGTTAGTGGCTTGAAATTTCTGTAACAGTGTTTATTTTACAGGATTGGGTTGCTAGCCTCATGCCCAACCTTCCCTCTTTACCAGTCTTATTACTGGCTCAGTGAGGTAAGGGATGAGTGCGTCGGTGGCCGGGGATCGAATCCCGAACTATCTGCATGGTCGGCGAGCGTCCTAACCGCTATGCCACCGACACACGATTTCTTTTGGAAACTGAAATTTTTCAGAACACAGTAATATGAGCTGTTTTATATCATAAATGGCAATCAATAAACTAAGGGATATAGCTTGATTGTATATGCTGATGATTAATATGAGTAGAAAGAAGCAGCTTGAGGTGAGTAGAATTTTAATGACTTTAGCTGAACGATCTGTCTAAGTTGAGTCAAAAGCAAGTGGATCACTGATGATCTGGCTAGCAAGTACTACTGTTTGACGTGAATAGTTTCCAGCTGCCTAAATCAAACAGAACTATATATCAAACCACACAATTATGCATACCTTCTTGATTACCACATATTGTGTGGCCTCGAATAATGTGTGGACACCTTCTGTAAATCGCCATTTTTAATCTTTCAAGTCAAGTCAGATGCTGAGATTCTGGTTCTCTTCCAAGAATATCAATTTGTGTATTTTGTTTCAAGGCAAAGTATCATCTGAAGACTTTTCTTCTTTCTTCAGTTTTCAAGTTGAATATTATCGAGACTATTTGATAGAATTATTATTATTTTTCAGCCTCCCGTTGATTAATTTCATTCGACTGAAGTGTTTGATGTCTGTTGACGTGTCTTTACCTCCTAGCACGGATTTTTCAATAACGCCTTTGTCATAAAATGGTGTTTATTTTCAGTGATGGAATCCAGTTCTACAAGAAGTGGTTTTCATAGCTGCGTGGTCTAATGGATAAAGATTTGGCTTTGAAAAGGGTGGATACCGTATAGGCTAGAGCCTTAGTGGGGACATCACACTCACAGTTTGTACAAGCTCATCTAGTTCTATTAACAAAGATTCAGAAATTAACCTCCTTCCAGAATAAGACTAAGTAAACAACCTGGACTCCTGTGTTAGCTACTATAAATGAAAATGACACTGTTATTTTGACTATTCAACGTGCGACATACGATCTTTCAGGAAAACATGGTTAAAATATAATCTCAGGAATATTAAGCTCTTTAACAATGAAAGTTATACTAAATAACCTTTTATGCAAGTGTGGCTTTCCTCATAGAGGATGTTTTAATGAATTTAATTTCACATATATCAATATTTATGAATGGGAAACAAAAGCCAGAGAAGAAATTTTCCGCACTAGATTTCACTTTCGTTGGTACTCACCAGTCAGTAAGTTGCATTTGCAGCTTGGAAGCAAACAATATCTCCTCCCATGGAGACTTGAATTCACGTCACCCAGTGCTGAAGTCTGAGAGGTTCCCGGTAAACTTTTCAGATTAATGATTTACCTCTTGTAGCATGGCAATGGATGTACTGTGTGGCGGCCAATAAGAAGTAACCAGTATCATTATTGTTTAGTTCTTGGTGTGTTGATGCTGACTGAAGTGACTATCAATCAACCTTGCATTGCAGGGTCACCAAGATAAGTGGCTTACCGTCGTGGTACACTCTGAACTAACGGTTGGAGACTTTCTCGAGAGCTTTCTGCCACTGTATCAGTCTGTATTTGAACCGAAAAATAACTTAATTATTTGCAGTTTTGTCTGGCAACTACTATAAACTTTCCTGTAAAGTAACATTAAATTTTCTGATCTGACTCAGTAGGCGAACTAATTGTATAGCAACCATTACCGTGAATGACTGTGAATTACCAATCACATTAAAGGAAGATTAAAACTCGTAAATTCGTTAGGCTAAGGAGTCAAGCCAACCCTCCAAATGATATCATAGATCCCCCAAAAAAATTACGAGCAAATATTTGAAGTTCTAACATTCCTTTATTCTCGTTAGTTGTTCAAGATCTTTTTTGACAGTGGGTGCTATATTTTAACTTGGTGATTCACTACAACACTACTATATATTTATACACATATACATATGTATACATTTATATTGTGTGATAATGATCTTTTCAGAAAACTTGGAATGTAAGTGTTGTTCAGCATAATCTAATTGTGAATTAAATGTTTCAATGTGCGCTGCATGCTTGCTCTTAACCTTTTTGTTCATTTTGCGCACTACTTAATACACCTAACCAGTATACCACACTAAGCAGATACACTATTGTGTACGGTTTCTGTGCACAGATTTTCTTTCGCTATCACACTGTCTTTTGGAGCGGAGATCATATTTCAGATTAAATATGAGCCAGATAAAAAAGGAAAAGTGAATCACACCAGGAGGAAATTCGATAACTTGTGCCCAAATTCAGCTACAGACATATTGTGAAGTTCCGTAGTTACTTGAAATACATCCCGTGTTTTTCACTTAAACTAAACAAGATCTTTACAAATATAAGCGTTGGCACTGATGAAAATATCGGTTCCACCAATAATCGAGGGAGCAAGACAAGCGTTTATTAATTTAAAGCTAGGTGTACAGGTTCACAACATACAGCGTAATGGGAAAGATTCAAATTTTTGATACCAGTGTCAAATGACTGCTCCTACATGATTCAGAAACTTGGAGCAAACTTTCCTTTTGCTAACATGGTAATGACGATCAAATACCCTGGGAAGACTAACTCCGACTGTGAATCAGTCAAGAACAAATAGGAAGAAGTAAATGGAAATGAATTTAACATAAGCTGAGGAGACCTTCGTGACATATACGCCAAGCTGGTTCTCAATTGGATCTCGAATAGGAAACGAGCGACGAGTTAAGTGTGGGCACGACAGCTACAGCGAAGGGATCATGTGAACAGGAAACGAAAGGTTTTGGGGAAGCAGCGGTATATTATTATATGCATTATTTGCAAATCTAAACTGATTACATCTTTGTTCAAAACGTACTTATATTCGTCAGGTTTGCAGTCCACATCACTAATTTGGTGCGTTGCTCACTAATTCTGTCATCAGTCTTCTAATACCACAAATTTATTAGCAAACACATAAATTACTTAGTAATGAATGATAATGGTGTGTAAGTGTTTCAGCGGCGGTAAAATGCTCGACAGCTACTCTACAGGTCCAAGTTCGATTCCATCTGACGCACTCCTAACCCTTACCTGATTTACTAGCTCTTAGCAAGCCTGGAAAGGAAGAAAGATTGGTCGTGGGATTAGTAACCCCAGCCAGTGAAGAAAACAATCCTACTGGTACTGAAACTTCACAAAAGAAGTTTGAAGCTCTGTATTCCACTCAAAACGCAAAGGACTGAAGAAATGAGTAGCAGTCGAAAGTGAAACTGAAATCTAAGTCACACTTGTATTCCAAGTGGTATCTCTAGCAGTCTGCCAGCTGAACTGCTAATTTGGGTTTTGCTGTCAACCAGATTTTGTATCCCACTTTTAGTTATTGCCTGTCGGATAAATATTGACTCACTCACTACATGTAATCCCAGATGGTCTTCATAAACCAATAATTTAGCATCAAATATGCGCTACACTACACTACATACACTTACTAGTAGCTCCTTTTGGTAGAAGTTTTGATGCGCCGATAATAATCATGCTTTCTCATATATTATTTGCTGTGCTGATGATTTACTTCGTACGCTTATCAAAGTTACCTAAAGTTGTCCTCTTGAAGTTTTTCTTTCGTTTCAACTGTTGGAAATTGACAGGAAGTCAGCTTGAAAGAATGCAGAAGAAGATTTGTATCGTGTGTGCGGATTTCATATTAGTTTGTTTATTAGATGTTTCACTGTGTGATACATCTAATAAACAAACTAATATGGAATTACTTAATACTGCAGTACCCAAGTTTTAGGCATACATTATTGTGTGATGTTGTATTCTCTGAGCTGCTTGGATGAACTTCCGAAGCTTTCATTTTATGCCCAGCTTATAGACACCACATCTTTATTAAAAGAATGTCAACACTCGAATCAAACCACCATAGCATTCATCCTACCATGTATGAAGCAATGTCTACAGTGATAAAACCAATAGAAATGGATACCGCATATGCAAACTAGGACAATCACTTAGTTCGGTATTTTTGCAGCTCAAAGGAAGCAACAGTAATAGAAGAGAAAGTGAATGCCATTTCCTCTATAATAGTCAAAAGCAATATCCAGCTTCGCTGTATTCTGAACAATGTCTTTATAATGTACACAATTTTCAGCGGAAATTATTGCGTAGCAGTTTCCCTTTATCTAAGATATTCAATAAAAATACTAACTTAGAGTAAGTCACATGACACACTGCTGTCTGACATCAAGTGCCGCCAACCAATCCCTTATGATATTTTTCCCTTGCCTCCCTCCAGAAATGCACAATTTTTATTTGAAAGATAATTAAAAAGGCGCAAGAGTACATCTTTTATCCCAAGGATACAATAAGAGCTGAATAATTGAAGACAGTTGCTATTAGTTTTATTTCTCACACAGCGACAGGTCGTACTATCCCATGTATCGGAATACATTGCCACTCACAACGACATGCGAATCAGCAGGTCGTAGACATTTTAAGTACTCTCTAGAATACAAAACATACTTATCGACCATATTTTGATAGACTAAGACAAATTGTACGAGAGGAATTATATTCCAATATAATGACAGAGTATTTTGATAGCCCAGATTTTAAACAGGCCGCCTTCAAGTCTGCTCCTCAAATCAATCCTCACCTGACAGACACACTGACGTAGGTTACATCCATCAGTCAATAAAGAACAAGTCAGATGAGCAGAAATGTCAAAGTGGTGAAATTCCACATCAGTGAAACAATCCACACTAATTCAAAGATAACGAAAAGTCACAGCCAAGATAATCAAGTGACGACGGTCATATATTTCACAGATATTTTCAATAACAACAAAAACTCGCTTTACATGGAAGTAAGCTCTATAACTGACTGGCTGAGCTTCAATATAGAGTTTTGCACAGAAGTGCAGCAATTTAGGTCACCATTTTCCAAATAGGACACAAATGTCGAGAAAACAGATTCAAAATAGCTAATCAGCAGAAATGCAAGAGAGAAATAATAGTAATACAGAAAATATGCGGGTTTAAAATGAGTGGAGGCAACTATGCCACTAAGAACGATCTTTTGACATATCGCCTATAGTTTCCAGCTGGACAGTCCAAACCTTCCTCTGTGACTCAAACGAACTATACATAAATTGACGGAGTGATATCGGGTTTTGGTGTCACTACCTCCGCTAAACTTTTTCCCAGTCCAACCCTACATAAGATAACATTTCTAGACAAGGAAGTTGGTGTACCGACCTGGGTAACACATGTCTCAGCTATCTCAATCTATGTAGCTTCATAATCTCAACTGTTGACATCCCCTCCTTGCCTAACACTCTACACTAAACTACCTCAACACCGCTCACCACATTATACCATTTAACACGGAGGATAAACAGCAAACATCTATGGTCAAGGAAAGCATGCGTAACGCTGAAGCGGATGTTTTGCAATACCATATCAAAAAGTATGGCGTTTTTTTTAGCCGATTAGTTTCTCAGTCCTCCTAAAGACCGAGTTTAACCGAAAACATCTGGTCCTGTAGCATATTCTCGTTTTATCTTTGTGTCACTCAGTGTCTATATAAAACATAAATAAGTATAGTGTGCATACATCTCCATAAAATAACACATAATTTCTATCAATTTTTAGGAAATATGATGTTGAAATTCGTGATTTTGGTCCAAGTTGGCGTGATGGTATCGCATTCAATGCTATGGTGCATAATATTGACTCAAGTCTTGTTGAAATGGATAAAGTTAAAACAAGAACACCTAAAGAAAACTTAGAACATGCATTCACTATAGCAGAAAAACACCTGGGTATACCAAGACTTCTTGATCCTGAAGGTTAGTGAGTACATTTACTCAAAGATAGTAATGATGCATCGAATATTATTTCTGTTATTTTAGTGTTCACAGGCCTGCATCGGTGGCACAGTGGTTAGGACGCTCGCCGACGATGCACATGGTCCGGGATTCGATCCCCGACCAACGCACTCCTCCCTTACCTCGCCATTCCGTTAATAAAAAGCAGTTAAAGAGGAAAGGGTGGGCATGAGGTTAGCAACCTCATCCTGTAAAATTAAACACTGCTACAGAAACGTCAGGCCTCTAGCTTGAAGCTCTATGTTCCATTGGGAACGTGAAGGAAAAAAAATATTCACAGACTATATTTTTGCTTTAAAATTACTTATTTGGTTATGCCTAGCAGCAGAACCAAGGATGCTTGTTCATTTCTGTTTGAAAATTGTCATTCAGGTGTATCTGCAACTCCAGTGAGTGATGGTATACCTAGTCTAATATAACTGATGAATATTCATACGAATAAGATCAAAAATAATGAACGCTTTCTATGAGTCGGAATGGTAATCTCCAAGATGACTCATTCATTAAAACTGAGAACTCTAATACTGATTCAAAATTAGTCATACTACAGCATTGGACTGATTAGTTAGGTCAATCAACGTGGTGAGATCTGATTGGTTGTTAGTCTGAATAATTTTTAAGCAGTCAATATTTTTACATTTCAAATTCTGAATGACAGACTGCCGAGCTAGTGAGTCACCATGGGAACTGGGATGTACGTGCATTCAGATTACTACTCTTAAAACTAATGAGACGTGCTTACTAGATCCTCCGGCTAACCAAAACAAATGACTTCGTGTAACCCATCATGGTAATACCGAGGCATTCGATCAGGCAGCCCAAAACCTGGAAATGAGGCTTCCTGTATCTTGAAGACCTTAGGCAATACATTCTAGAAAGAAAAGAGAGACTTGTAAGCATTTTAAAGCAATCCTCATCCTCCGTACTGCTAATCTCTCAACAAATAACAGCTATTTATGCGAAATCATGTGGAACAGTAGTACTATTACACCGCCTTCTTTCCTGTAGCTTAGAACGTTGGTGTTTGGGAAGAAAATTTCGATGATATTTCAGTCATTCTACCTCAAATTTGCTTTGCGATAACGCATTAAATATGATCGCTGATTTTTCTAACACCAGACCACTGAGTGTGGGGATTTTAGTAACGAGCAACGCTTGTGTTGTGATTTGGGCTTAGACAGTACATTCTGAAAGCGAATGGCCTTTGATATACATATATATATATATTCAGTTTAGGCTTAGGAGGTTAGGTAAGGGGAGGAAGTCAGTTTAAAGACAGTGTTGTGGAACTTCATCGTTTGAGACAGCTAGGAAATGCGTCACTCATAACTAATCATTCTTATTCTCGTCGAGTAATGTTAACCATCATCAGCGTAGGTTGGGAAAAACGTGAGAGTTGACCAAATTACAACATGACATCAGTCCATGAAGTCTTAGACTATTCATTTGAGCTAGTCATGTAGGGGGGTGTAGACTGCTTGGTTGGGATCTTTGAGACGTTATAATCAATGGCTGAAGACTTTTGGTGGTATATATATATATATATACATAGCATACCTCAAAAGTGATTTCACCTCAGACGGCATAGTTGTGGAACAAGAGGTATGAATACAAGATAGCTAATAATCGAAAGAAGTGGAGTTCATTTATGCATAATATGATGGAAAATTCGAGAGGAGAGAGTGAGAATATAAATTCCTGGTAAGCGAAAGAAGGATTATCACGTGAACAAGACAGAGGCGTGTAGTTAACAGGGCAGTGAGACATTTATCATACTATCTTTCCGTGCGTCGGTGGCTCAGTGGTTAGGATTCTCGCCGACCATGCACATGGTCCGAAGTTCGATCCCCTGCCGACACACACCTGATATCTATGCTTGGCCTGCAAAATTTGGGCTAGCGATATCCATGCTGAAAATTCCATACCTGTACCGAAAAACAGTGTGGAATCAAGCTGTAATCAAAAATAAAAAAAGTATACAGAAATTAGGTTGAAGTATTTTGATTGCAGTGGCTTCTACAAAGCTAAGTAGTCAGAACTTTCTCTGTAATATTAATTATTTTGAAAGCTTGACCGATTTCATTCCTATTGCTTACGTCAATCAGGCGCTTAACGGTAGCACTTTTAAACACTTCGGCACTTAGTTTTCATGTGAAGATTGTTGAGGATATGCTCTGAAAAACCTCTCAGTCTTTCCCATGTCCATGCCTCCAAAAGTGCATGTGAGTTGATAAATCCTATTGGCATTGTCTTGAACAGGATACTTAAATACTTCACACTGCATTAATGAACATTTTGTGTTAAAAAGAATAGTAATTCTAGCCATGAAAAAATCCTTTTCAATACCTTTCGCAAGTCAGGTAGATAAAACTGCTTCGTTCCCATTTACATTCTAGATGTGGATGTTGACAGACCAGATGAAAAATCAATTGTCACTTATGTTGCTCAATTTTTCAAAGCATATCCAGACGCTGGAAGACGAAGACCTGACTCAGTAAGTGCTAATCCTTGTTCCATTTACCCTTTCATGACAATTCCCAGTCATCCCATAACTTATATATATGAGCCTCGAACCTAGTACTCATTATTTCAAAATCGAAAGTGTTACCAATTAGACCATGTGGGCCACAATAGCCACCTGTCAACATGTCAATATCGGTCCAGTTAGTCAATGAGAAAATCAAAATTGAATCAAAACCAAAAAGTATATGATTTCAAGTTGAATTACAGGGGTATTTTATTCTCAGATAAAGATTGACTAAAGATGTCCATTATAACTGTCCAGAGGTGGGAATTAATCAATAAAGAACATTCTTTTCTGCGATTTTTTCTTCATCAGGTTCTGCAGTTATATACTCATAATAGTAAAAAAACCCGCTATCGTTAGTAGGAAAATTAATGTTTTGTGCTAAATAGCATAGACTACAGTTCAAAAGCATGCCTGTGGTAATAAGCATCAATATAATACTAAATTGAAAAACAAATAAATCAGGAAAAATAACACAATTTATGGATTTGGAATTTCCACAGTAGGCTAGGGGATCGCCAGGTTCATCAGTACTGGTTTTATGGCATGTTTGGATCAGGTGGTGATGCTTACTATAAGTTAGTTTTGCGTACACTGGACCACCTAGCATTTTAGGTGAATAGGGATGTAATGGAAGCCATTAGAAGAGCACAAAGCCAGAAAGGAAGAATCGTTATCTGCTGTCTATTATGTATCTAATAAATAGCTAATAGACACAAGTTACTGAATACTCTGAGAAAAACAGAAACCGTAACAATTCAGTGAAAGCAGCCAAAACCTTGTACACAAAAGAAATAAGTTCGGCTGATATTGCTATCCTGGCCTCCTGTAAAATCCTTACACCTTTCTTGATTCGTCTGATATTCAGTTTGTTGTTTCACGAATGCACACTGTCACTTACAGACACTTTTGAACTGTAGCCTACTCATCTCACTGATTCGATGTTAATTGAAACATTATTGTTAATAAAATTAATTATTATAGACATATAGCTGTAGGACCTGATAGAGAGCAGTCTGCTGAAAATAACATTCTTTAACTGGTGGATGGTGACTAGCAGTGGAATCCAGGATGCACATTTCGCCTGTCCTATATGAGACTCGTTAGGTGGATGTACCTGCATTCCACAATAAGTGACGGATGAAATAAAATTTAGGAAATGCTGAAGTTATGTGTGATACAAACAGGGATAAACACATGATAACATGAAGGAAGAGTGAGGAGATAAAATGAAATACATAATCAGATGATAATTGATGTTGCTGAGAAATAGACTGCCTATAATGGTCAAGGTAAAGACAAAAGTTGGAAGTGAACTGCTTTTGGATACTTACTGTTGACTTGAGTTTTTGTTCGCTAATGCTTCAGTTGTTCCCTTTGAGAGCCTCGACAGAATCTCGCATCTTATCTTGAAGGACTTTTCAAATTAACCTGAGTTTTCTGAGTTCATTCACAAAATATCCTGTTATTGAACTTTGTTAACCAGGCTAAGTGGTGTCCTTGACAGCGTTTTGCAAGAGAAAGCATAATACGGCCGATATAGTCAACTCCCAAGTAGCCGCTGAAATGATGTATGTATGCCGATGTAACTTGTCGACAAGAATATGTTATTCGTATTTCTTACTGAATGACATTGAAAGCCATTTCCAGAGAATTTCTGTCTTAGTATCGCTTTTAAGCCGCAGAATCATTTTAGGAGTCACTTATATCTGTTAGACAGTTTCATAATCTTATCTGTGAATCCGCGTGGGAAACCATTTTCCATCAAAATCCCTCTGAAACAAATAAACGAACAGTTGGAATCACTTATTAGAATTTCGACGAGACTTTGTGAATTTGATTTCTAAATAAACTACTGATTTATTTTCAAGTAGTATAAAGTTTAGATTGAATGTGTTTACTCTCTCATTTTTCTTCAAGCCTACAAAAGCAGATGTAAAAGTGAAAATAGACAGTCTGATGAAGTTTGTTCGAGATTCTGAGTCAAAAATAAGAACAGCTAGATCTGGCAGATCAAATTTAAATGATCAATATCAGGTAACCATTCAGTGAAATTGTTTAATTATACTTCTGGATGGGTTATTAAACAACGGGGTTTATCTAAAAAATGTATGATGTGTGCCATACATTTCGCAGAATGTAATCACTCACACATTTACTGGACAAATCACTTTATATGCAAAGTGAGAAATACAAGGTCAATTAAAATAAACAACAGTGACAAGGGGTCTAGGAGGAAAAAGGATAATAAGTGAACTAGTATGTGTGATAAGATTTTTGAAAATGTATGTTGCACGACATCACATTTTCTAGATAACCTCAGTCTTCTAATACAGCGCTATCCAAATTTATTAAAGGGACTAATTGTTGCACCCATATCTTAAATATTCTCACGGTAAATTTAGAACAACATATTTTAACGTAACAAATGGTGTGGTATCATGCTCCAGTTCACTCCGAATTAGATATTAAGCCTCATCATCCTCAAAAACTAAATTTTGCCCTGGATGCTAAACTTTCTGGGGAATAACGTGGTTCACGATAAAGCAAATCACAAACGGACCGAATCTCAACACTACGCATACTCATCAAACAGAGCATAGAATGGTAATCAGTCTCCACCTCGACTTTATCGATTTTGAAAATACCTTCGACAGCATCGACCACGAAGTAATTTGGAAAGTACTTCTGTATCAGTCTTATTCAGCAGTTATATGACAATGCTAAATATCATGTGATACCCAATGAAAAGTTTAGTGAAGCCTTTGAAGTGAAAATAGGAGTAAGACATAGTTGCCTACTTTTACATATGATGTTCCTATTTGTGGTGGGCTGATTCATGCATCACACTGTGATGAGCAAGAAGATACGAATATAAGAAGACTATGGAGGGTTTGGAAAATTTGTGTTTAATTTCAAACAGGCTCGATGATCCGCAGGAGAAAACCAACAATTTTGTGGAACGAACAGAGTAGGTAGGACTTCAATTGGATACAGAGAAGACACCAAAAGCAAGCATCAGTCACCATCGTCAATGGGAGAAATTCGAAGAAAGTTGACTCTGTCACTACAGACGGCACAGATAAAGATGTAGAAGACAAGATAAGAACTGCAAGACAAGGATTCATTTCTCTGATATCAGTGTGAAAATCTGCCACAAACAACACAAACAACAAGATCCTGATTTTCAAAACTAATTTCAAATCAGTGAGTTTTGACACATTTTCAATAAGCTACCACAGACTTTAACCAACAGATGCTTTCGATGTTTGGATACTGAAAATCAGATGACTGAAATAATAAAAAAACAAGTAATTCTGTCAACGAATTAATCAAGAATCTATTGGTCAACAAGCACCAGTGAAATGAAGATGGATTGAGCACACTAAGGAAGCGACAGAGTGATACCACGCGCTGTTCTATCAAGTGGAATGCAATTGCGAAACAATGATTTGGTTTGCGCAATCGTGTAGCTAATCAAAAAGGACTACAGAAAACAGGAAGAAAGTTCTACGTCCCAAATGAAACCAAAATGGTTAACAATTACGATAATGAGTGTTTGTTCTTTCGACCAATGTAATATTGAACTTAAACTCCTTCTACTGATGCTTCAATGCACAAGAATGCACACAACTAATCAATCGATTAATGTTCCCACACACTCAGAAACCTCGCACTCGAATGATTGATGTGGAAGTCAAAGATTTGTTTCTCCAGGAAAAATGGTAATAAATGGTCAGATACTATATAGCTAGTTATACACTTGTTTTTCATGATCAATAAATTACAAGTTTAACACTGTGGAAATTATCTTCTGTTCGCATAGCTCATATACCAACAAAAACCCAGTTGTGTGAACTTTGAGAGTATACTCATAAGTCATAGCGCAACAAACTTCCCACAGTTTCAATCCAGGCTGCTTGAAAGGGCTGAACGAGGACAGCCAAATGATGGTTTAAATTTCCTCAGGTTGTGCGTCTTATGTGATTCTGTATTACGTGCTTGGAGGAGTGCTATAGTCTTCTTAGATGTTATGTTTGGTTGCTTCACAGGCGTTTTATCACCTTTTCTTAGTCAACTGGAATATCTGGTATTAGATGGTTGGAGGCAACTGGCAGGAAGCCCTGGACTTAGGTTTCGTGCCAGTTGGCTCTCATCAGCAAGGCGTTTTTGTAACCTCGAAGGAACTCATGTCCTTTTTGAAATTCGAAGCCGCATCACCCATTGCTGCAGTCAGAGACATTACCAGTGAGCTATTCAGGCTCGAGATTGACCTCTTGTAGACTTTTACTGCATATTTTTGATTGGACACTAATCAATAACTGGTCCAGACTAAATTCTGTCAGTCAAGTTAGCAATGTGGCATTTACTGTTCAGAGCGTGAAAACACCTGGCCATTGCTTTTATCTTCACCCAAACTTTACGGTAGGCTTGGACTAAATGTCTTCTTTATGGACAACATAAAAAACACTGAGTCCTATCCGAATATTATATATAAATATGTTTACTCGCACTTATTCTTACACTGACAGATTTATGACCAATTAACTAGTGAAAAAGCAGAAAAGGAAGAAATTTATGAATCCCTTAAAGATCAGTGGTACTCTGGTCTTTTATCCCATGCTGATACACTAGTCAATCCGAGTGAAGTAGAAATTTTAGAAGAAGCTTGGAATAACCTGGATGACAATATCAACGAATGGTTATGGGAAATGGATTCAAAAGTACCTGGGGAACTTGGTCGTATATCAAGATGGTTATGCCAAGCGGAAAAATGGTTTAAACAAGTTGGCCTGAAATGGTATCAAAAGTCGTCTACTACAGAGGCAGTCGGTTTCTGTGGTACTCAAAAAGAATCATGGCGTCCATCAAGTGCTGAACCGACTAATTCACCTCCATCGAGTGAATTGTTAGATAAATTACAGAGCGAAAAAATTGTAAGTATGCGTATATAAATGTGTGTTTTATTACGATGAACTATAGAGGCTATCAAATTACTATGGGCAACTAACTCCAATGAAAAGCCGTAAAATTCTTGAGTTTGTTTATAAGCCCTAAGCTGAAACTTTTGGACTTCTTATCAGGATAATTGTCTGTTCACCGTAAGCCCTGACCTTAACCTGAGCCTATCCTTAACCTAGCTCCTAACTCTAAGCTTAACCTTAACCCCTAATCTTAACCCTTACTCCTCACCCTAAGCCTAACCCTTGACCGCGAACGTTAAGTGGTATTCATAACTTTGTCTGAAGGTTACCGTCAGTGCCTTTCCTGACCGCTATAGTTCATCTTCACAGTGAATGTAAATGTGAAAATGCCTGCCTTGTTTTATTTAAAATAATTTCTATTCGATTTATTGGTAATCATAGTAAATTTTGAGATGCATCGAGAATCTTCCACGAAACTAGTTGGTCTATCAGAAGTCACTTTTGTTACAGAAGAAGAAGCTTTAAGAGAAGAGATACTTCTGTTTTTCTGAAAAGTATCAGTCTCAAATTGTACAGTCGCATATATGAAAGCAATGTATTATAATAGGAACAAGAAATCAAAACCCTTTGAGCTTTTCAAACAGTTTAAAGATCATAGTAACACGAGAAGCAGCTTCATATTTAAAATAGAAGAGATGACACATTGACCAGTTAACCAATATGAAGCCCAGAAAAGAGGAAAAACTTTTATTATTTTCATAACCAAAACCACAGATAAAAGGTGCGGAGATCCAATGGTGCAATTTCAGTGTCTAGCTATTTATGTTATGTCGTGAATTGGCAGAAGTTGGAATTCAAGGACCATTGGATCGGGTCCCAGTGGCTTAATGGTATACGAGCTCACCTTGTAACCGGAAGGTCCTGGGTTCGAATCCCGGTGGGTGCGTACTGGTGAAGAGTCCCAATCTAAGACGGAACAACTGTCCAGTACTCCCAAGTTTTCCGATGGTTCTCTAACTAATGTCAGCTCATGATGAAATCCTGAAACCAATCAAATCCCTACAAACCAACACTTGAATACTATTTATGTTCAGTTCATTTATATTGTTCGACAATTGGTCCACTGCATTCACCCATATCTACAAAATAACGTATCATAATTACAAGATATACGCATCAACTTCTCAAGTGGTACAATAGCAATCAATAGGTTCGAGAGGAAATCACGTAATACAAAGTTCTACGTTGAAAACTTAGTCAGTCATAACACACTAGGTCAGTTTTAGGAGTGTTTTATGAACCGAGAATCGAACCGGAACCACTTGCTGCTAAGTATTCTAGCTTTGAGCCACCGACGCTTAACTACTTCATGTAACTCCCTCTTTCTTTCTCTTTCACCCAACAGGAGATTTTCGGTACAAACAATCATAAACTCAACTCTATCCGTGACGATTTACCCGGAACTATTGCGAATGAAAGGTCGACTGGTTTGCCTGCCTCACTAATCAACCAGTTAGGTAAAAGATTGTCGTGGATAACAGGATATGAACCCGGTAGCAGTGCAGTTCTTGGTGCGGCCAAAGCTCGCAGGACTTTCCTCGACATTCTGTATAATATTAATCGAACAGAAACTAGTACAGGTGTACGTATACGGAGTCGTCGAAGAGAGAGTGCTACAGGTTTTGAACATCGTTATTGTAACTGGTTAGATCTTGTTGATGGTAATATACAGATGGAAACAAAGGAAATGGTCAATGGAATTCTGACAGATTATCAGGTGAGTATACAAAATATCTTAGTGGTATTTAAATCACTTGTATTTAGAGTTGGTTGTGCTGAGATGCCACTTCTCTGTTAAAATGTCTGCAGTACGGAAGATTCAAAGACCTTTGGAGACTAACATAAAGCTGATTTAGTTGATGCATATCATCAGTGTAATTCAGGATGCGTATTTCATCCTTTTTGACACCCATATCCTCAGTGAATGCTGGTGTTCCCAATGAGAATCACATTCACCACCTGTTGTTTCAGATTTCAGAACATGGGGTGATGTGACTCAGTAACCTAGACAATATCGTTTTAGCTTTTGAAACGTTTGGTGCAAGTGAGAGTCTGATATGGGACACCATCACTCACCACGGATGCGTGTACTTCCATTTAATCAGTCCTGAACAAGAGGAGGATTCTACTGATATATGCCACGGACTAATTAACAAATGAATATAAATTAATCATACAGAAGCTCCTGAAATCGGTGGGGGTAGTCTACAGATTTCAATTAGGGTTTTAAACACTCAAATAAGATGTGAATGTCACATCTTTATATCGACTGCTTATCACAATAATATTGTCAACGCATCTCCAATAAAAAGGCATTCTGACGATCAAATCACCAAACAGATTTTAAATGTAAAGTCAAACGATTACAAAGTACGTTCTGCAGCAACGTCATCCACATATCAATGGTGCTCATCTTCAAAAGTGAAATGAACGCTATCACTACAAAACAATATTATTAACTTCCAAATATGTTAGGGGGGATTTTTGTTTGATTGTATGAAGGATTTCACCATGAGCTGACATCAGTTAGAGAACCACTGGACTGGATGAATACAACTAGTCATATGTCTTTGAATATGTATATTTCACGCATATAACTCTTTACGTAGAATAGTAACCAGCTGACGAGTTCTACCGTCATTTGATGAATTCATCAAATCCTGCTTCTTCTTAATATTTGTTGATTGTTTTAAATGCATGTCAGGAAATAAATGCTTCCTACTATATTCATTAGCATCGCCTTCTATTTCGTCGCCGGTGTTTGTGAACTAGTTAAGCTTCACCATTTACTTATTCAAAGAAGTGCAGTTTTGTAATCCATTTATTATTCTCACTGATACTTTACTGGAATAAACCTGTTCCATTTTAACGGGTTTCAAGTTAGATCACTAAATAAAACATCAATTGTAGAATCGTCGAAAGTCAAGGAGTATCGGGCAGCTGTTTTTCCCTTTTTCTTTAGTACTCTTCAAGAATGCGAAGTGACTGCTTTATCGACGATTGAACCCAAGGCTTTCATTTTCCAAGGCGAACTGGTTGACTATTCAGCCACTGAGACCGGATCTGATACTCCATGAATTCCAACGTCTGTTCATTGGTGAGATATATGGTGGTCGCTATTAGCCTGTGCTATGTCACGCCCGACCACTAAGTTTGTAACAACAGAAGATAAGGACCAGGCAACAGATCGTTTTATTATGAAAATCAACACGTATTTATATATATTTCACATACATTATTATAGCTTTATGTAAGTAGAAAAGCGCAGTAATCTGATTGGTTGCAGACAAACGCAGGCTTCTGATTGGTCGTTTCGGGATTCCTTGACAAATAGAGTTCTCTATCTGCGAATCATATTTTGCCACGTTAACTTTGCTGTGATTGGTTATTGAATCAGCCTTGTTCATATTTTCTCACGGTCCATATTAGTGACCTAGACATTAACGTAGATTAGTGTCAACCAATCGGCTAGCAGCCTGCTCTCACCACAAGTTAATCCCGCTGGTCACGAATTCACAAGGGAATCCCACAAAATGCATCATGCAGTCACAGTCACTACTGAACACGTTAGATTAGGAGTAGATGAGTTCGCTCCGTAACCTGCAGGCCTGGAGTTTAATCTTCAGCTGGATGCCAGGTGCATACCAGGCATGCATTGCTAAACAGTTCCAGACATTGGTTTAAGCAGCTATCCAGTCCCTCTCCGGCTTCGATTTGTTCTCTAACTGATACGGCAGTTCGAAGCTTTACTTGAAATCAATCAAAATAACCCAGCAAAACAACTAAGACTTAAAAATCCATTTTAATTGTTTTGCCCACTTTTCATTGTGCGTTTTTTTCCTATGTCAAAAACAAACACAGCTTTGTCTGAAGACCGAACATATTCCAGAGAAATTAGATCAGTGTAAATGTGAGTTGGGAAAGCATTTGGGCTTATTGAATAAAATCTCTCAGTACGATGATAAACTACTGCCGAAAAATGCTTTGGAAGTAGTTCAACAATGGCAGGACGATTGTGAAGCAAAGTGGAATGTGGAGAAGTCAAATTATCTTATACAACTAGGTGAGAAGATTAAACAACGTTTAACAGTATGGGATAAGCTGGATCAATATATGAGGAGTATAGAAGTAAGTTTTGTGTATTGAGTTTCATGAACTTAATTATTTCCAGAATGAGGTTATATGTAGGCTATTTAGTTCAACATTATTGCACAATAAATCGGGTTAGAGGTCAACATGTAAATGTATGTGTGTGTCTTTTTAACTCTCGTCAGTAACAGGGTATTCATTTGAACTCTCAATACTATAGAAAAACTAGAAGACAAGACTAGTTTCTGTTGGCGATAACAATTATATACATACACATCCCAGTAACTAATTTGATGGGTTGTGTAAAGTCGGACGTCAAGACTTCCCAATCAAATTATCGAAGAATCTTCTGTCAAAGCTGCTAATGGTTTACGTCAGTTCCAGTCTGCAAAATATAATTATTATAGAATTAGACTAAATTATGGGGTATACAACGACAAGGTGAAGAAACACTTGCATGATCGTTACTCCAAATAGAGTTAGTAGTAGTTAGAAACTTTCATAATAAAAGAAATATTGAATAAGTTCATTTTAACTAACTTCAGGAGAATTAAATTATACTTTATTCATTCCTTACGTTCCAAATGGAACATAGGACTTCGTCTCCATTATAATCGCTTCTTTTTCATCATTACCAGCTGGTTCCCCAAATGCTTATAGTCTTTCTGTGTTTCCTAACACGGTCTTCTCTATGTCACCCTTAAATGGCCAACTAGCGTTAGATGTCACTTCTTTGTATCTTCAGCGTATGTCGAATTCTCATATCTTTCCTCGCATATGTTAATTGAGCCATATGCCGTTGATGGATTCACTACCTGACAGAGTTTCTTGTTGCTCACGCTTTTCGGTGGGCCATCTAATCTTCAGCAACGAGTTAGCGAATTGTTTAGGTTTTGATGATAGGCTGTCATAACCAGTCGGAAATTCTCTGGGTGATGCACGCTCCACATTTTTTGAAACGATATATAGAAGTGCTCATTGATCTTTCATCAGTGTTAAAAATTCGAGTTTCATTTCATGTGTAATCACACCTTAATAAGTTCAAAGTCTACACAGTAAAGAACTTATATTTGAAGGCTTATTCACATGGCAATTTTCTTCTGTTCAAGTCTGAACAGATCCAACCAAGATGATTAACAACGTAGGGAGTGCGATAGAAGTTTAATAATTTAGATTGTTATATTATTATTATTCCATTGGGTTCCAAGTGGAACATAGGGCTTCAACAATACATCTCCACTCTCTCCTATTTCCTGTCATCCTCTTCAGCTGGATCCACGATTGCCTGTAATCTGTCATCTCTTCCATGGACGATCTCCTCCATGTCAACATAGCACCGACGACCCACTCGTCACCTCTCATTCGAATTCCACTAGATGGACGGCCTGCTTGGCGCGCGATGCCATTTGATTACCTCCTCAACGTGTGCCCAATCCATGTCCATTTTCTACCATATATTTTTTGAGCAACAGGTTATTGGCTGGATTGTTACCAGAGCCTCTTCTTGCTAATTCTTTCTGTCAAGCCATTTGATTTTCAGTATTGAGCCAGAGAAGGCAGTTGTTGATAAAAGACTACGGTAGCCTGCTAAAAAAGCCTTCTGAGAAGCACTAGCCAAGAATCTGAGTCATAAAGAAGGACCAACATCACATTTGTATTGAAAATCTGAATCTTATTCCTTATGATGAGTGCATAAGTTTTTTTAACTGGTTTCAGGTTGATAAAGGCGTGTCTGGACTTTCTGATTCTTAATTTAACATCATCATACGTCCCGCCTATAGGTGAAATGATACTTCCTACCCGGATAAGTGAAGGAAGTTATCTCTGTCAAATCTCTTCCTTTGGTGGTGATTGGTACTGGTTGTTTTTACTGTCAATTGGTTGGTTATTTTCACACAGATAGACCGTATTCTTTACGCAACATGTTTTAGTAAACGATAGGACAGCACTTTTCCTCTGACATATATATATATATATATATATATCGCATTGGCTGTATTGCAACCAGTTAGGTAGATTGTTCTTTTATTTATTAATTATTTTATTTTTGATTACAGCTTAATTCCACACTGTATTTTTGGTACAAGTATGGAATTTTCAACATGGATATCGGTGGCCCAAAATTTTCAGGCCGAGCATAGATATCAGGTGTGCGTCGGAAGGGGTTCGAACCTCGAACGATGTGCATGGTCGGCGAGAGCTCTAAACGCTGTGCCACCGACGCACAGATATATATATATATATATATATATATATATATATATATACAAAGATATAAGAATAGAACTTGTGCACTGTGGTAGATTATAATTCCATTGTGGGTAACATTTATTTTGATAAAGTTTCAGTGTTATAAAGTAATGTTTACTGACGACGTTTCGCGCACAATTTATTGCTCATAATCATGTCGTGCTTTCACATAATCATCAGGTCGAGATCTAGAAAGGCTTCACGTGAGGATCACATTTTTTATAACAGAACAATCAAAGCTCCATACAGATGAAATATTCAGTTTAACGAATTCAACGCCAACAAAATTATTCTTTGTAGCAATGCTACTTAATATTATGAAGAGATCCAGCATGCTACCAGTTCTCCTAAGTAATTATCTTACCAGTCAGAATTCATGCATAGTTTGAAATGATTTTGTTCTGCATAAGTCAAACTAGATGCACTGAAACGATGACCTAACCCTCATACAAGCGAAATAAGAGTCAGTTGCTGAGATCCCTTTGATCTAGGCAGCTAGGAAACACTAGTGTTGATTGATGTTCGTGTGGTATCCAACTGTATATATATATATATATATATATATATATATATATACAGTAGATATAACCGGTTATTTTGCTAATAAATAATCCATCCCTCTCCCACAATTAATTTCCCTCCATTAACTAGACATCCCTATCACAACTTGAAAGTTCTAAAGTGCTACTGAAAGAAAATGATCGGTACAATCAACGAGATGAAATTTTGAGGTTACTACAAGAAGCCAATGAAGCAGCGGATTATCTTGGAGAATCAGCTGATCATCACCGATTGAAAATGTTCCAGAAAAGAATTGAACAGTTAGACATTGAAGTAAGTTGTGAACAAAAGTTTTTTGAAATTATGAAATTCTTTCCTGAACAACACTTGAAAGCTGTTCTATCGGTCATTGGTGACTGATTACAAAGTGTTAACCTTGTTAATGAATAAGTGAGCTTTAGGGTCAAGTAAATCTATCAGATTGAATGGCGATGGCTTTGTCTCACAGACTGACAGAATTTTGAATGATTCAAGAACCCATTAGATTCCATCCCAGTGGCTGGATGTTCAACGGGATGAAAATGTAACCTGAAGACCCTGAGTCCTATCCTTATATGGTCTTGGGTAAGAACTGTGGAAGAGTCCCAAACTGCTGCGAAACAGATGTTGACTGCATCCTGGTCGTTTTCCGTAGTTCTCTAACTGATACTAGTCCGTCATAAACTCCACCAAATGTCTGTAAAAGCAAATATTTCTACCTTGACATTCACAGTGAGGTTGTTTTGGAAATAAATTTTACTCTGATGTTAAAAGAGCTACACAATAAATCCAAAGTCAAATAACCGAAATGGTTTCAGAATGCTTATTAATCGACTGACTTTAAGGGTCTTTGCTGTGTAGATCTGAAACTACTGGTTATAATCATGGTGATTCACCTGTCTCTTTTTTCTTCTAAATATATTAGTTTTTAAAACGTCTAACTCGTCCCACCCTATTTTATGACAGCACGCAAGTCAGTGTATCGTAGTATCCTGGCCTTTTTCTAGGTTATTCAACTTAGCAGGGTGAATCATTCCATATCTGCATAGACTTCTATGTTTCGTAGATCCAGCTAGTCCTTGTCTACTAATTCGACCTGTGTAATTGAGGCAAACCAATAAGAAGATGTAATCTGTCTGAATCGTGTCATGAATTTACGCAACACATTTCGAACATTTGACCTTATACTCATTAAATGATATTTGGTAAATTAAACTGTTTTGCATTACTGGGTCTGTGAAATTCTAAATCCAAGAAAATTGGTCTCTAGAAGAGTTAGCTGCTTTAAATGCCATCTTAGTTCGAGTGTTTGGTATTCCTTCTTTTTATGGGTATACTGTAGAGGCTTTAAATTCCTTGTTATTCATATTATTTTCAATATCCTATTTTTTTCCTGATGGGTCTTCATGACTTTTTAAATAAAATCTGGTGGGTGGTTATTCATTTGTAATATACCCCCTATATTGTACGATTTCATTATTTAGGTATTCTGAATTAGTAGTTAGACTCCTGGCTCGGTTGTATAATTTTTTAACCAAACCTACCTCTATTAATTCTGGGTTTTACTTTTCTTTTTCAGGCTGTAAAAAGAAGACAAGCTGAAAACGATAGATTAGAAGCAGAGAGATTAGCAGAGAAACAAAGACTTGAACAGAAATTGACTGATATTTTAGATAAAATAGAGTCGTGGGTAAATGCAGTGATAGATCTTATAGAATGTGAAACACCAGCTTCTTCAACTTCACCTTCAAAGTCAAAAAAATTACAGGTTCGATGTACTACAAATGGATTGTCGATTATTGTTGGCCAACTACAAAAATTGGTTGATCAGCAACAGCAGGTAAGCCATCAGAAAGCTGCAAAAAAAATTGTTTATTTTTGCTTGTATGTATGTATGTACTTGTTGTATGTAAATTGTTTACCGGACACTTAGTTGCCATTGAGCTTACTACTTATGCTAGTCGATGATTTTGTTGCACGGAAGGTTTGGTTTCGATTCCCGGCAGCCAACGCCTGGTTTACTTACCATTAGTTAGTTCAGAAAAGAGGGGCGGTTGAGTGGTGTGCTGGCAAACCTCGGCCGCCACTTCTTCCCCAACTTCAAAGCTTAAGGCATCATGTTTCATTCGCAATGCGAAAAAACGGAAAATAACACACTTGTTATGTTTATTTTTCATATACTCACGAATTCATCAAACGAATTGAGTTGATGGTGGAAAAGATTGTCTAATTCTGAAGTAAATTAAAATTCATGGCATAGGAGAGAGCAGCTCAATCTTTAGTGTCCTCACGGATAATCGACTTCATGTAGTAACTGAAATAATATTGGAATTTTTAGGTTCATTATAACTGTTACTTCAGAGAAGAGTAGTGTACACTACCAATCACTAGAACACTGATCTCATTTAAAAACTTTACTATATTTCCACAATCTTTTGTCTCATTTGAAAATGTTTATAGACCAACTTCCAGCTTTTTAAATCTCCACTATTTGAATTCGCTTCTGGACTATCCCTCACGTTAGGGAATACATGAATCTAGAACATAATTACTAGTATGTATCGGTTGGTTCTGTTAATACATTTGTTGAGCATAAATAAAAACTGTGGTTTCTTAGCTCTTAATAAAACGAATGAGTTAAAAAGGTAGAGAAATCTTCTTTTCTGTTATGTCTTCTTCCTTTATGTTTAATAGAACAACTATACAGCTGAAATTTTGTTCGCCTCTGTTTTAGATTTCTTCTATGAAGTCCATGGTGATAATTTCAACTTATTAATTCAATGGAACGTTTGAGTTAGGCATTAGAATGAAAAACATGTAGGATTTGTCTAGATTACGGTACTACATCTCACTGTTATATATAGTAAATATAATATACAAATCTCACACTGTGAAATGTCTATGCTTTATGCCATCAAAATCGGTATAGCTGTGAATCAGTGCGAAAAAAACATCAGAGCTGTGTCAAAAGCAATGAGTCATGGTCAGTAATAAACAACATGCGAATGTGCAGATCATGAAGAATCAAGTAATTCGAATCAACCACGTTCAACAGAGAAGATGGAACATAAAGCAAAGAAAACACATACACCAGGATACCGTTTATCAGTAGCGTGAAATTACGCCATATCAAGTAGAATGTTAATACACTAAATTAAACCAATCCTAAGGAAATGATAACTCATACTACTTAAATACAAATGAAACTGTAATAAACGATGGGAAGGGAAGGAATTTGACAAGTATATTAAATTTTTTTAATTATTAAACACCGAGTATCACTCAATCGTGAGTAATTACTAAAATAACTGACAGTATTCATGTAACCAACTTGGTTTCGATTAAACTTAAGCTACTGTTATTCATTTCGTCAAGATTCGACGCATCAGTTAGGTAAACACCAGGAAAACCCAAAGAAGAAATGGTAAAAACTGTTCAAAAGTGTATTTATCTACAACAACACAAGAGATGGAAACGAGGACATTGAAGTTATGAGGTGAGCTGATTCGTCAGTCTTATATGACGTTGTCGGCAATTATGAAGATGTCCACTTCATTACTGGGTTGTTTCCAAATACCAGAGGTCTTTAATTAAAACTTGAAGAATCTACGTATACTACCCTCAATAAGGGGCAGCATTTTCAGTTATAAACACAAATAAGTGAAACAGCAAAGCGAAACACTTACTATCTCTGTATTTATTTAGTTCAAATACTTAAGAAAGGAGTTAACACCTAAGATCTAAACAGACCAATATTTCAAAATCGGTCCGAAAGAAGATTATTCTTTTCGACAAATTGTTTTTCTGTCACTTGCACTCATCAGGTATGACATTTGTTGGCGTTACAATAATGGCCAATTATGTCATGGATACAAGCTTTTTTCACAGAATAACCGATTAGTATTTACAGGTTGACAAAAATGGATAGTATTTATGTGAGAAACGTGCTTGGCTGAACCCAGCTGAAAAATGTTATAAAATGCGAGACAATCATGATGACTACTCAAAACAGATTTATGTAATATAGGGAAAGGAAATTGAAAATCAGTTAGTTCAAGGTTGTAAAAGTGTATGGTGATTTATCGGTACACAAAAATTGGTGATCGAATTGAATTTTTTATGGCATTTGATTTCACCTTTTCTGAGCTGGGCTGCGTATTTATTTTGTGAAAGAATGCTTGAAGTTGAAATGAACTTCTAGTTTTCTGAGGGCTTTTTCATTATTTTTCACACATCCCTGTCCTTATTCTTCCCCAGATTATTGATTATCTGCACACAGCTCTCAGTACAAGTCATGAGCCAGGTATTCAACCAATACATCATGAACAAAGCAAACGGTTGCATCGATTAGAAGATTCTACAGAAAAATTCATCAGTCTACTACCGTTGAGATTGAAGGATTTAATTGATATGACTGACAAAATGAAAGAGATTGAACAGAATTTGAGCGATGCCAGTATACAAGTGAAACAATTAGAAAAGAAACAAGGTAGAGTTCTATTCGATGAAGATACGAATGCATGGGATGGTTCACAGTTGTCGCTTGATGTAAGTCTCATTTTTTTCAAGTATTGGTTTGTTTCGATTTGATTGGTTACAGGACCTCATCATGAGCTGACATTGGTTAGAGAACCATTGGGTACCTGGAAGTGCTGCACATCTGTTTCGTCCTAGTTTGGGACTCTTCATCGATGCGCACCAACCGGGGTTCGACGGACTAACCAGCAACTGTCTACTGTATGCTGGAATCACTTTTTCCCAAGTGGGTTCAAAGCTGTGCAATTTGTTATATGGTTCTCTAAAACGTCACTTGTCAATATATCAGATTACATTTCAGATTATTGTAGAAGTTTAGAAAAAGGAGAAACCTCAAGGCTACACTAGTAAAAAACGATTGAAAAAATCGCTTCCTTATATACAGCCTTTACAGCATCTCCCTTGTGTATAGCGGCAGGTTCCAATGTAGACAAACTGTGTAGCTGGATTACAACTGGAATTCCTTGTCTTTACTTTATATATCACTTTGAAGGGCTTCTCTGTCGACGTAGAATAATGTGTAAGGACATGGTGCTCAAGGATTGAGCTATCCCACCTTAAAATGATCATACTGGGAAATATCTTTATACACGTCTGGAGAAAATCTTACAGTTGTTGTCTGTGTCCTTAGCTCTCCAGAAGCTGGCAAACTGATGGATATACACGAGTGTTATCAACAGTGGAATGCTGTCTTTGACATTTTTATAAAGAAAAAGGTTTGCGTAGAGTTGGTGATACGGCGTGATGCGTTTTTTGAACTGTTGTCAATAACCTGCTTCAAAGGATTTCAGCTATTGTGTCACTTTTGAATTTTGATTAAGAACCGGCTTTTTCTTTGGTACTTATATATATATATATATATATATATATAAGTGACGACTGGCAGAGGAATTTAATTCATGAACTCATGTACTAGTAGAGAACTCAACCAGTAGAACAACCGCTTACTGTATTTAAATCAATTTAGTGACCTGGTTACCAGCTAATACTACAATAACAGACACCATCTGCTGAAGAAATTTGAGGAAAGTTACTTTTTTCGTTTACCTAGGTACTTCAAACTACAGCAGAATGGCTGAGGATGTCAGAGGCAGTAATTGAGAAGTAAGATAGGTGTCCATCACTGTGAAAGCAGTGTAGACATCTACTATACTTAGCATGAAGAATAAGATCCATATTTTCAGCATTATACCAAATCAACCAGTGTTTTTATTTGGTTGAGAAACTTGACGCCTTACCAGAAACACTTCCAGAAGGCTACAGAATTTCTTCGACACTTACCTTTACTCCATAGGGGATATCAGATGTCCGGCTTGAAAGTACAAGCAATAAGAAGTCCTGGCAACTAAGGCGAGCAAGAACCTATTGCTCAACAAATATACAGGAGAAAATGGGGGATAGATGGATTGTACTTAGTCTGAAAAGAACTTTGAGTGACATCCAACGTCCAGTGAGAAGCGACGAATTAGGTATGCAGCCCACGGTGATACTGAGGAGATAGGGTGAAGATGAAACGAAAACTTATGGCCAGTCATGAGATCCACCTGTAAAGACTGTAAATAACAGTGAAACGGATATGTGCTTAGGCTGAGTGAGACCTAGAACTCCACTGGTAACTCAGGGGAATAATAATAATAATGAATTATCAGTAATGTGTAACATTGTGGTGTTCTGTTCACTATTCATGGTATCCTTATCAATTTACATATACCATGGTCTTAATATTCAGTTTCTAGAATAGTTTATTTTGTTTATCTTCATTTCATTGTGAGCTCCGAGTAGAACATAGGGCTTCAGTCTTTGAGTTTTGAAGTTCCAGTAGCGGCGGTGCTGTAGTTTTCCATTGGGGGTGGAATTAGCTAGTCTCACGTCTGATCTTTCTTCTTTTCCCGGCTTACTGCTGACTAAACTTGATGTCGTTTAAGAATACGTCGGTGATCGGGAATCGCCGATACTCATCTTGAATTGTGTCTATAGTGTGTCTTTTGAAAATTTCAAATTTGTTTATGTGTGTCATATTTTCACAACTGTTTGCATTTGTTTTAATTCTGGATGTTTTCGATTTTTTTCAAATATTGAAACAAGTTCAATGATTGTCGTGGACACTTAACATTTGTCAATGGTCAAATCAATGATTTAGATCGTGCATTATGCCTACAAGCCAATCGTGGTTTAACAGTTTTGAATAGATTCAGTAGTGAAGAATTACAAGCTGAAGTAAAGAATTTAAATGAACGGCTAACTGTGAGTATAAATTCTACGTGCATAACAGTATTATTATTAATAATTATGATTACCTTAAGAGACCTTTTTTTAACGAATTTATTATCGACGTGTACAATCGGTCGTTGTTCTTATTTCATTCTTTTGAGTCCTAAAGGGCAGTTGCTTCGGGTTTTCACAGTGTGGAATTGCCAGTTTCAAGCCTTTCCCGGAGGCGTCGTATTGAAGAAGTAATATCTAGATGTGCGTTCGTTGCTGGGAATCAAACGTGGACCATTCGTGTAGTGGGCAAGAGTGTCACCAATGAACCTCGGATTTATATATATATATCGTATAAGTCTATGATTTTCTTTTATGAAGTAATGTAAATTGTGGCAATGAGATAAATTTTATTATAAGCATAGTTAGTGCGTCTGTGGTTCAGAGATAGAATGCCAGCCAATCACGCATGTTGTCCGAGGGTTAATACCCGGCCGACGCACTACAAACCTGACTAACCTGGAAGTAACGCCGGTAAACAGGGAAGTTTGAGTGTTGGGCTAGCGAGCCCACCTCGTAAACTGCAACCATATAATCTTACTAACTAGTCATTATTTCACACTTATTATGTCATGCCAACTACTGCCTCTTTTCTAACTTCCAATTAGTCATCCCATCTAGACTACACCTTACATTACGTATCACGTTTCTGAAAACGAGTTTTGCCAGTATCTGATTGCTCTTATGATTTCTTTGTTGGAATATAATTACTTTTGTACAACTTATCAAAATGAATCGCTGAAAAAAAAACTTCTTCGCTGTTTACATCCATTTCTTATGATTCAAAATGGGGATATTTCATTAAATAAAACTATTATCATTATAGTCCCCATTTCCACCTTAGCCTTATTTATTCTCCGTTTTGTTTTTACAATCTGTATACCTATGCCTTATTAATTCGACTGTTATTACTGTTGTTATTATTTTCATCTTGAACAATTCCCATTAGTATCTTAGCCCCACCTTTGATTTATTTGGTTCAATATATAAAATATTTTTGAAATGTTGTCTTACCGGGATTACTATATGTTGTTATGTAATGTCTTAATCGTCAATTATTGGTTTTGAAGGGATTTTGTTTGATCGGTTGAAGAATTTATTCACGTGATGAAATCAATTAGAGCACCACTGCAAAGCTACCTACTAATCTTCTTCAATCTATAACTTCTTCTAGGATCTATAAATTTCATGAAATATTCCATAAATGATGTCAGCTATATTGTCGATAGATGATGTTTAACCATAACTACAACCACAAAGAAATTCTCGTATTTCACATTACTATTTCAAAAACAATGGCAGCTACAAATCTACAATTTGATGATGAATTAGTTTAAAACAGCCTCTTCACTGAATCGCTTTTCTCATTTTCTATAGGTTCTAATGGAAATTTTCCATGAATGATAATAATACACAACATAATCGAGCAAAGAATATTCTTTTGAATAAATTCCTCTTCAGGCTCTACAATTATTTACATGTTTATATACACAGAATATTTTTGCTATATAATGATAATAATAACCATAACTTTATTGATTTAAGTTAATTTGTATTTCCAGTTGAATGATTCTGTATAGCAAACCTAAATGATCCATCTGTGTTTGTATATCTGGCTGGTAGACTATGTCATGTTTGAAACTCGTTAGGTAGGTGTATCTGAATCTCCCTTTATTGACTGATGGTGTGTTCTCAATTTGGCAGGTATCCTGCACTCATCATTCCAAACTATGTTGTACCCCAGTGACCTGGTAGATAAGACTTTAGAGTTTCAAGCAGTAGGTGCTTTGATGGACTTCGAGTGGTCGTACCATCATTCACTGAGATGTGAAAAGAAAATCTAGGAGTCAATGAACCAGCTAGTAACTTATTGTCTAACCACAATAAATATGCAGGAAGAAATAGAGATTGTTGAATTGAGTATACGCCAGACTGGGGAGATATTCACGTGACCATTTTACTTCAAGATAACTCTCATATAGTACTTGTATGGGAATAGATAAAATGTGGGGACGGGTTCAGCACTGACACGGAGGAGATCATGTGATCAAAACGAATTATTTGAAAGCTTGTAGGCAGTCCTGAAGCCGGCTAGAAATGACTTCGTAGAACCTATTACATTGAAGCTTTGTTGGTGAAGCCTTATTTTCCACTCAAGACTCAAGGAACAAATAATAATAGTAATGGGTGTTCAAGATCAATTTTAGTGGTGCAAACTTCACCCACATACCGATTTTTGCCTGTTTGTTTCTTTTTCTCATTTGAAGAAATGTTATTGCACTTATTTCTAGAATGCTGAGAAGACAATCAAACGTGAAATCGCCTATAAACAATCAATCAATGAAGCTTTTGCAAAGTTTAAACAACAAATGAATGAAATTAAAGAGGCTTTAAAAGACTTGAAGTCAGCTATATCGATTGGTGGTGTTGGTGCTAGTCGCAAAGAAGAATTAGTCGGTTTATTGGAAAATGTAAAGGTGAGACACATCTGTAGTAAAATGTAGTTGCGAAAATAATACGGGTGCTGGAGGCACAAGATTTGTAACACACTTGGTGGACATATTTTTTCTCTGAACTACATACTTCAGTTATCCTTCTAGACAACATCTTCAGTGATAAAACTGCAGGTTGAATTTGAGTTTCTTTTCAAATTCTACGTGAATTATACATATACATTTTATACATACATGTATATCATCGTTTTGAACATCAATGTGTTACCCCCTACTAATATGAATCATAGTTACGTCGCCCAAATTTGATATGAGTTGACATGACCGGGCATAATAACAATATTGTTGTGACTAAGGTTCGACATGGGAAGTCAATAAATAACTTGTCTGAAGATTGAATACAAAATACTGATTTCCACTTACTGCTGACTCCCAAGAGATCACTCAACGAAAGAAACAAAACATATTGCTATGAGAACAGTCGATTTTATATAAATTTTAACAACCTTAGAATATTAGGGTTATAATAACTAACTTGATTGGTTGTGTAAGGCTATTTAGTAATATTGAAATAAATTTTTTGCTTCAGCCTACTGGTTTAAGTTAGTCTAAGCCTGTTTAGCTTGCAAGTCTAGTCGGTCAAGTAACATCAGCACCATCGGTGAGTCTGTAGTAGTGGCAGCTGCCGAAATGTTAACAGAAACCAAGCATTTCAATCCAGTAGAAATCAGTCAACAGGAGAATGAAAGCAGTCATAAATTCAGCAAATAATAAATCTGGTTTTGAGGCTGTCTGTGACTGAAGTGTTTTTCAGACAGGTATTTGAGTGGTGTCATAATCAATTCTGTTTAACACAAAGGTTAAATCATTGTATTCCTTATGACTAATTACATAGAATTTTTCATGAGGTATCACATCCGTGATATTTAGCTGATATCTGATAATAATAATAATAATACGTGGTCTACTCTACAGCATAAATGGCAGTTAGTAAAGTAAGCGAAATATCATGATGGTATATACTATTGACTGACTGGTGCGAGTAGTTGAAAACCAGTCACAAGTGAACCAGTAGTGCTTGCTTACCAAGCCATAGAAGTGATCTAAAAACGCCGAACTATCGTTTCACTTGTGTGGGTCTGAGCTCACCAGCAGTATGTCCCCGACTGGATTCAATTCAGACATTCGAAACATATCAAAAAATCATAGCGATTCTCACAATCCAGTTAGGTGAACTGATTCTTCTGGACGTCACATTTGACCTTCCTCTTTTATGTATCTTCAGATCGCGAATACCTTAGAATTACTTTTAATTACTTTTACATTACAGACGCTACAGTCTAAATACTCAGAAAATATGAAAGTCAATGAGAAACAATGTGAAAATATTATAAATTCTGCAGCATCTCATGGTGACGCGGATTCGCTTATCAATGAAATGAAGAACAAGATATCACAGATGGTAATTTTAGATTATAAGTCTTTTGAAATTGTGAAACCTTGCTTTTTTCACCAAGATTTTCAGTTTTTGTACTCATGAATTAAATGTTAGGCTGAATGCAGAAAATAAAGGACCATTTCAACGAAAGAAATGTTTCGTTTATCCTCGAGGTTATCTTGAAATGCTGCATGTACAACAGTGTTTATTTGTATTTTTGCAAAAACGTGTAGCAAGTCATCTATTATGGAGTCATTAGAGGGTGATATCATCAACGACACAAAATGGAAGTAAGGTGAGAACTGCTATTAAATGAGAAGCTAGAGGGTTTCGGTGTCCACTTGACAAATTTGAAGAAGGTGAAAACAAAAGCTGGCTATCAAAGTGCACAAAAGAAACATGCAGGAGTGATCATAGTGAATTGCTCACTGCAAATAAAATCAAACAAGTAGGAAACAGATTAAGACTAGAATAGAATGAGAAACTGAACATGGCTCTTCTGCACACAAACTTCGAGTTTATGTCAATGAATCCCTACGATCTTTACCGTACACCGATGCAAAAACACAACACCGCTTACTCTACTAGACTCTGCTTTGTGGATAATTTTAAGAAAGGACACTGGTGAAGCTCCGTAGCCTTATTCAACCAAATGCTCGAAAATCGAGCTGGCGGAAATGAACTACACTGTTTTCTTTGTTGCTGATCAGTGGAGAGCAGACTTAGTGTTACGTGTCTTCTCCTTGGTATGTTGCTGCTGACCGAACTGATAGTCAGCTAAATTCACACATGTGATCACTGCTGATGACTGCTAAGAATCATGAGACCCAGATCTAGGACATTTCGCCAACTGCCACCAACCATCGATAATTAAATGTTAGTTTTGTGTGGAGTTATTGTTATTTAACGCATTGATCTTTTTTATTTCATTGACATTTGAGTGTTTCTACATGGTGGTACTGCTAGCCTCGCTCCTCATATTCTCAGTTTACAGGACCTACTACTGGCTGAGAAAGACTCAGTAATGCATCCGCTTGGGATCTGAGCTGGAGTACGTAAGTCACTGGCTAGCATTCTACTACTGAACCACCGATGAGAACGAGCAAGATTACTGTGGTGAACTGAAACTATTTTGACAGATGTGATATCTATGCACTCTAGCATTACTGATATCGGGGTTATATTTTAAACCAGTGCACAGATTAAAGAATTTCGGTGAAACTGCATGTGTGTGGCTATGGATAATCAATTATTTTTAGTATTGATATATTTTTAATCCAATCTAAAGTAAGTGACATGAATACTAAAGTCTTTGTACTGAAAACCTGCAGATGCATCGATTTATATGGCTGGAACACATGTTACACATGCCAAGCCAACACTTTCCCGGTCGACCAATGTTGGTTGACATATGAAAAGTGTTAAGAGTGGTCAAATCAAATGTCAGCATCAATTCATTGATTGTTTATCTACGGCGTGAAGACAGGTACAGACTACCTGATTGAGCTCCTAGAGGCTTTAGGAGTAAATGGTTGGAAATTGTTAGTGTCATGGATAAGATACACTCACTTTTTATGCACTCGCAGATCAATTCAATCGTGACTATTCTCCATGTACTTTTAATTCATTCAAATTTTGTTCAACTGAATTTTTGTCCGCTATATGAAATACGACAAGTTGAAAGGATACAGTTTCTCACCAAACTGTACAATGGAAACGCAGTCAGTTTTAACTACAGTCTCAGATCTTACCACTGATTGGCTACAACTCAATATATAGTAAACTGTATCTATCATTTAGTTGAGTCTTGACTAGAAGTGGTTTGTTTATTCATTCAACCGTCGGAATGGCTAATGAGTTCACGTATGATACAATCGTTTGCACAGCTGTATTTTCATTCTGATTTACATCCCTCCGAACTTGAAGAATAATCATAATTCGTTCGTAATGATATAATAATGTGCACTGAACACCTTGAAAATTCTCCTCGTTATTCACATGCTGTGAGTTTATAGTAGAACCCTCGGCTTCAAGACATTGAATTTTCAGTATCGGTGGTGTTGTTGACATGGGGGTAATTGTTAGCTTTATCCCCAAACCATAGGTCTTCCTTGTCTTCCATATGTCTAAATGGGAGTTTTCTCTGTCTATTTTATGATATCTCTGAATGATTGGAAGGGTAAACCAGAAGATTGATTCCAAAGAAAATGCTTTTTGTTTGAATGCATAGGGTATTTTCATAATGTAAATTTTAGGCAACCCACCAACTAGGTAACATATTCAGTTGTTTTGTTTCTTCTTGAGAAGCAGAATATTCAGCTCAGAAGAGAAAATCAAAACATTGAAAGATAAAAATAGGTCTTTCTACTGCAATCAGGCGTGAATTACGCCAAAATCAGTATAGAGATCTGTACCCATAGCAGCCAACACATTGAACAAGGTCCGAATTTATAACATTAATGTTAAGTCACTCATTTCTCCTATATCTTCCAGAGGACTGATAAGTGCTTCAACAAAAGTATTGCCAGCACACTACTATAGGCTAGTTCGCTGCTGTCTGTACTGAAAATTAGATGGCCAGCTGGAAAGGATATGCAACAATGAATTCTAGTAGTCAGTGAACAAACCAACAACTTTATGTTGGAAGAAATGGTAATGGATTGGAAATACACTCTGAGGAGGCCATTGGATGCCATCGCACCCCAAGCAGGCCCTTGAGTAGAATCTGAATGGGATGAGTTGACTGTGGATCTGAGAGTGACCTGAAAGAGGTTGCGTAAAGAACAGTCAAGAGCTTTTAGACAGTCGTGAAGTCAGATAATAAAGATGACAGAGAACAGAGTACTATGGAGATGTATTGTTGAAGCCCAAGGCTTGAATAATAACACTAATAATAACAACGTTATTTCAGAATATTATGAACGACTAGAGCTTCTACCTCTTCAAAAGTGTGAGGAATTCCCCAATAGACACATAGCTAAAATGGGGGAAGAATTGTTTTTTATTCATGAATGCCTTGAGGTATCAAAACCTTACAAACTTTTTGAGATGTAAGTCATAGGCTGACTGTTCAGTGAAACGAAAGCATCAGCCAAATGTTGCGGAAAATTAAGTACACTATCAGATAGATGACATTTGGGACGAGTAGTCCGGAAAAAAAACCCAGCTGAAATACTGGTTTTAAGTATGTAAGCAAGCAGTTGAACTACCACTCAGAAGTGATGAAATCACGCGCTCTACTGAAAGACTTCCATCCAGCTATGAAGTACACATTCCTTACCTCTCAAACATTTTCAATTCACATGTCTACGAGTTAAGCAATAAATTTGAAGAACTCTGTATCGACAAGTTCTCCCAGATTTGTGGTGATACTTTTATAGGCAGAATCAAGAGAATGCTTCCGTGTAATCGGAAAGAACACTTTACTAAGTTGTTATTAAGTCACGTAGAAGTTTGAAATACTCTTAATATGTGCAGGAGTCCATTATCATCCATTAGCAGAACATTTATTTATGCCTGGTCATAAAATCAATACTTAATGGTTGCTTGTCAATTCAAGATTAATAAAGGTGACTGAGACGCTTTCAGGAGTTGTATGTACAGAAAACAATAGACTTCAATCGTTGTCTACCACGAACAATTTGACTAAGTGAAAATACAATTGGCTACTAATATGCGCTCTAATTCTATAAACAGTTGATTAATTTATCACAACTGTGAACCATGCCAGTTGTGTAGTGTAATTTTACAGAAACTACAAAATTATATTATCTCACAATGCTACTAGTTGTCTTCTTAATGCCTAATTTAAAGCAAACTTTATGAGAAAAAGAATATTTTCAATGTCATGAAATGATTCCATTTAGTTATAATCTTTTCAATCTTTCCTCTGAAAAGTACACCACTCTTGTATTATTTAAGTACATTTGTATAATACATATATTTTCAAATTCATGACATGGTAATTTCCTGTTTACTGGACATGGGCGTTGTCTCGTCTCTCTGTCTTGCTTTCTGTATTTTTCTCTACCGCTTTTCTCTCATGAAAATGTCCCTTCGTTATCTAACTGATACAGTGTATGGATATATGTATTTTCTTATGGTCTAGATATTGTTGTTAATGCTATTTTCCAGAAACCATGGAAATTGTACATAGCATATCTACGAGAGTTAATGAGTCATTCTGAATAGTGGTCAGTTAGTTAAACAGTAAACGAATAAGAAAGTCCATCTGTTAAGTTTAAAAGTGTATCTATGATTTACATTATTATTTTGTTGTATAGCATTGTACTATAGTACATAAATTAACAGGTGAACTTTAATTCACCCTTGCAAACTTAATATCGTGATCTTTATGGATTCATCCTTCAGACTGACAGTTAATCTTCACCTTCCAAAGTATGACATACAATCTCAGGGTTTAAACTCCACTCCACTCGTATCTTTCCCCTTAACTTTCATTTGGCTGCACAACTATAAAAAAGCTCTCATTTCTCCGTCAAACGGATTTTCACATTTCACCGTAGAATTTATGCACAACTCGCCACTAGCTCACCATTCCGATTCCAATTGACAGTCTCTCTGGCATTTGGGGTTATTTGCAGATCTCCGCAGCTTATGTATGCATATTTGCTGATTGGTAGACAGTTTCTTGACTAGTTTTCTATTAGATTTGCTTGTTGCTGATGTTTTCTGAGCAGCCATTTGTTCTTCACTATCGATTAACTCTACCGTTGTTAATGAAAATCTACAGTAGGTCATTGGAAATGCTTTGAGTGACGTGCACGCAACAATTTACTAATACATACAAAAGAAATATCAAATATTAGTAGATCTTATTCCCTGTGCTAAGTGGTGTAGATCGCTACACTTAATTTAGAGTAATGGACGTTGGTCAGGTTTTCCCGACATGGTCCTGGCTGGCTTTAACGTCCTGATTGAGCTACTCATAGTTTGAAGCATGCTGCCCACAGGAATAAAAGGGGCTGTTTCGTTTAGTTTTTCCCCAATGATGATGACTAGCACTTGTTGTTGGCCAAAGGGTATATTAATGACTTCTATCTTCTCAAAGTGTACCTGAAATGTCGTGTCTTCATTGCCTCCTCTGAAAACTTGTTCCTTTTCTCAGTCGTATATCTTCGAGTCTGTGCAACATAAATCATCTGCGAAATGAGAGTCATGTACTTCCAATAAATTAATCAGAGGTTATAACGGTTTCACTTGTACTCTTTTGTTTGTTTATGTTGTTCACGACAGCAGTATGTTGCCACACCAATGACAGTTTGAAGAGATTTTTAGATTTTAAGTGTTTTAATTGTAAACATCGCAGTAATGAAGTGGATAGCTTCACATCCAATGAAAGGGCTATAAGAAAAGAAATGAATTAACTTATCACTTAGTATGAATATCCTGATTTACATCCCTCTTGCAGGATTGTGTATATACATTACGGAAAACCATGAAATACGGCTGAAACAGTTGTTCAGTTTTAGTGCTTGTCTATCTACGCACATTGTCCGAGTTTCGATCCCCATCCTAGGTACTCCTAAATCTTGCTTGGCTGGCAATATTCCCGGTAAAAAGGCAAGACTAAACATGAAGGTGTCAACCTCACCTGGTGAAATAACACCGCTGCTTCTGTACCTTCGAAGCTCATGCTTGAAGCCCCTTCTACTAGGAACTAACTGATACGTCAGTTAGTGACTAAATCCATCCTGGGATGAATAACAACATTTACATGAAATCCATTAAAACCAAGTCTATTCCATATACTGACGACTCGACACATGAAACTGTCATTCTTTTCACAACCACACTTACTAGTGAATGATACTCGATGTTCACTTTAAAAAGCAAATTAATATACGTGTCAAAATCGGTTTTTTCTTTTCATCTTTTATTATTGTTTCATTTTTGTGTTTCGTTTCATACTACATATTCCTAGTAAGTAGTATGCGTATTTTGATATAATAATAAAACTTGGGCTCTGTGGTGAATAGCCATTCAGCATCATACAGTAATATTTACTGATGACCACGTTTCGAGCACAATTTATTACCACTCATAATCATAACAACTTGATAAGACATAATGGAAGTATGAGTTTATATATGTTCTGCCGTTTCGTAACCATAGTTACAGATATCCATTTGAAATTATCTCATTTAGTGTATCAGCATTCGATTTGATCTGTATTGTATATTTTTCTTTTTTATGTTCCACTCTATCTCGAACACTGTTTATTCGAATCACTTTGTTCTTGATCCGCACATTCGCGCCTCATTCATTTCCCACATGGATCACCATTAAACATGGTTTTGTTGTCTTTTCTTACTGACATGCAATGACACTGTATTTGACGGCATAAAGACTAGATACCTCAGAATTTGGGGATGAATCGACTATTTATTCCATTTATTAGTGCAATATAATAAAGTAATTTAGAAAAATCCTGTGTGTTTTGGATTTTCGCACTTAACTTAAACGTTTCATTAATTTAGTCAGTTGAAATTATCCTCACGGATTTCTCAGAAGAAAGCTACAATATGTGGAGAAACTTGATTTCATTTCGGCTCGACTGTGTGCTCTGAGATGGGCTGTTTAGTTGCGAAGATTTCGTTATCTTACTAGGAAACTTCCTAGGTGCATTCTTTAAATTAAAGCATACTGAGGATGTTTGCTAGTAAGACAATAAAAGCTTCTCAAATAAATCGTCCATCTCAGAGAACACAGCTACACCAAAATCACCCACCTGAGCTACAAACCTCCTCCACTCTGCTTTCTTTTGTTATTTCATATTAATTTATCTACTGTGCATATCATAGTGAAACAGTATTAACTACTGGATGAGATTTGTTTAACTGTTCATAATCTCATCATCGATTGTAACTACGCAATTCCTAAGGTTGACCTGTTTAACTGTCTTTCTTCCTTCCCATTCGTTATAAGGAAGCAGAATTTTCTGGATGTCCGGGTGGGCAGGTGTGTTCAATAATTCCTAGAGAAAGCCTCACTTATCAGTCTCATTCACTAGACTCCGTTATATTAGATTTTAAGACTGTCACCATGTCCAATTATGTTGTATGGTTGTGTGTGTGATTTTATAGAGTGCTAAGGCTGGACGTTTCCCAAGATTCCTTATCCTATTATTATTTTTATTATATTCCCCTACGTTTCTAGTGGAACATTGGGTTTCAAGCTAAAGGCCTGGAGTTTCCGTAGAGGTGGTATTTAATTTTACGTCATGGGGTTGCTAGTCTCATGCCCAACCTTCTCTCTTTTCCAGTCATATTACCGGCTTAGCGAGGTAAGGGAGTGTGTCGACAGGGGGTCGAACCCTGAACCACCTGCGTGATTGGTGAGCATTCTGCCGCTGTGCCACAGACGTACTCTAATCCTTATAACGTACAATAATCTAGATTTTGGTGAACTTTTCTGCTTCTCTAATCCAGCTGAATTTGGCCAACGACTCAAACCTCATGATTGTTCACAGGGTATTAGATAAAATGAATTAAGTTTTTTAATGGGCTCCACAGGACCAATCCCTTAACAAAATTAATTTTTCAGGAAGTTTTACAGGCGACTGAATACTGCTTTTTTCAATCCCACCTTGTTGAGAATCTTACTTAAGGTCCCATAGGATCTCTTTATTGCTGGCTCTGCTGAAGTTTTAAATTCTATCTTCTTGATACACAGTCATCTTTTTCTGCATATTTTTTATTCAGGTCTACCTTATAATTCGTAGTATTTTTCTATTTCTAAAATGTCATACATACTTCCAGATTGGTTTACCGGAAGCGATTATTGTTAAGTGTCAAAGGTTTTCTTATAATGTCTTTCTTCTTGTTGTTGTAGATTTTCTTTTTGGTACTGTTGAAATGTTTTTTTCCCTATCGTCACATGAACATTTGGCTAGTCCTATTTTCACCGACACGGGTTGTGTAATGAACTGAAATCGAAATATCAGTTTGAATTGTTATTATTATGATTATTATATTATTTGTTCCCTAAGTTCTGGGTGAAACACATACCTTCAGTAAAACACACCTCCATTGTATTCGGTCCCACCTCCTTTCTTTTAAATGATTGCACAACTTCCCACAGGTTTCTGCTTCCCTTTTTTCGTCATATGATGTTTCAAGGCTCAACTTTTATTGCTTTCCTTCCAGTCAGATTCCTCAGGAAGGCTAAAAGTATTCGAAGAACAAATAATCAACTTTTCAACCCCTTATCTTCCTTAAACTCGAAATAATTTTGGATATAAAAAAGACTTCCATTTGTTTTGAAATATATATTTTTATTTTGTTTTTCTTTTCTCAGAAAAGTGAACTGAACGAACAATGTCTGGAAATCAATAATGAGTTACAAGGATTAAATGTTCAAATCAATAAATCAATTAAAGAAGTTCATGAAGCTGAAGATAAAGTAAATAAAGCAGATAAATGGTTAGTGAATCAAGAACGTCGGATAACAGTTTTATCAGTTGGCCCAAAAGCTTTAGCAAATGATCAAGTTGACAGTTTACCGAATAGGATAAAATGTTATCAACAATGGGTTGATGAATGTAAGGTATGTTTAAAACTAGTTATGCATCCATGGAGATGAAAATAAAAAGCCTTATTGTGTGTTAATTCAATCAACAAATTAATAAATTCAATGTTTTTGAAATATTCGTGGGTTAAAGTAATTTTATGCGTTACCGAATTGGTAGCATACAGAATTCACTGAATCACCACTCATTGGCTGTATTATCAAACTGATTGATTTCACAAGCTGAATGCCTTGACTTCCATACCTTGTGCAGTCATGGTTCAAACACTGTGGGGTAGTCTAATAGTAGGAGGGAAATGTGAAGTCAGTTTTTGTGTATGGGACAGAAGCTTGGCCAGGGCGTCACGCAGAGGGTTTCCAAGAAGTTACAGACTTTCACTAACAGCTGCCACCTTCGCTAGCTGAATACTGAAAATGAAATGAACGACCAGAAAGGATTTACAACAAAAACCTTGGGCAGCAAACTAACCCGTAACCGGCTGCTCAACAAATGTGCAGGAGAAAATTGAGGTGGATCGAGCATACATTGGGGAGGCCGTCGAATGACATCGCGCACAATACAGACCATCTCTCTGGCGGAATCTCAATAAGAAGCGACGACTGGGTCGTCAGTGTGAGGCCAATACGGAGGAGATCGTTGGGGGAAGAGATGAGAGATTATGGGAAATCGTGGATCCAAATGAAGAGAACAGCAGAAAAGTGAAGAAAGGGGAGATGTGTTGTTGAAGTCCTATGTTCCATTTGGAGCCTAAGGAAATAATAACAGGTCGGAAACAGTTCTCCGGCGTTCCTTATGTTTCTAATGCTCATATAGCTGATGCCTCAGTTCGTGATATAACTTGAAATCAATCAAACGAGGTTCTGCTTAGTAAATCAGACAAATATTGAACTCAGTAATCTATAGCCTTAGCTTCTAACTGTTCGAATTATATGTTCACATAGTATTCTATTTTACGTTTGCCTTACTCAAATGTCCGTGGTTATTCTGAACACAAACTGATGGATACATAAGCCTAGACTTCACGTTAGCAATCTGGTGTAGGCAGCTTACATATTATCTAATTATTAGATTTCGTTTCATCAGCATCATGGATGATTGATAGCTTTTATCCTCTGACTGACTTTCACACAACCTCTTTTACAAGATTAGGACCCACTAATTAACTGGGCTAGGAACTGTAGCAGCACACCATCCAACAATTTATTGACAAACCAGTCAATAAGCAGAAGGAAATGGAGGGAAATGGACGATATACACTAAAGAGACCTCCATATGACATTGTATAAACCATTTCGTTGAATGGAAACCGAATTGGAAGCAGTGAGTTGTGAGTGGGTCAACAGGTGATACGGAGATGATCATGTGAGGAAGAAACGAAAAGTAGTCGGCAGCTGGAAGTGATGGTAGATACCCAAGTGCGTTGGGGGTGTGCCACGGCTGAAGCCCAATTTTCCACTTGGAACGCTGGGAATGAATAATAACACTAAAGCTGTTTAAGTTCTAATTATTCCTATTTTTACTATCTGTACCCTGCCTTTTTTACAGAACTTCATGACAAGTATAAAAAATCAGTCTCAAAAGCATGAAATCTTCTCTAGCCGAGATGAAGTTGACTCTGTATTCTTAGAAAAGAAGACGTGTACATCAACGGATTTGCTAGAATCACTTTCGAAACGATTGGAACGTCTAGAAGAAGATACACAAGTAAGAAATGAAGAGTTTTTTCACTTCGCACTTTGACTGGTCACTAGCTGATAACCGTTGACATGCGTCTGGTCCTTGGTTTGATACAAACTAAATTCTGTGAATAAAGTTTGCGATTTGGACACCCTCTTAAGTGACCGGTCACCACGGTGTACTCTGAACTGAACTTAGACAGTTGGCATCAGTCGGTAGGAAGATCTGGACTCAAGTTTCGTACTTGCTAGCACTTATTAGCAAGACCTGAATAAAACCACACTCCGTCTGAGGCTCTATCCCTCGCCATTCAGCGCCGCAGTCACAGTCATTACCGCCAAAGTGTTCGGCGTAGCTTCTGCCTCATGTAAAGCCATGATGGATACTCTGATTGATCACTACTTGGTAAAAAGTGTACTGCGTTTAGCCCTTGGTTTGGTGCAGACTAAATCCTACCAATCGTATTGACATTTAGGAAGAAATCTTTTCGGGGATCTTTCATATTGTGTTTTGCGCAATACATTATAAACAGTTTCCTTCTAATTAAATTGCATTTCACAAGTTGGATTTGTAGTTTCATTTCAAACCTGTAGAAAGCATGAAAAATGAAACAATCTGTCCGCCTTTCAGTGGTTATTCTGCTTATAGACATATGTGATCAAAGCTGTTGCAGTACAAGCCAGATGAGTTTTCATAGTTCCCTCTGACGCAAATGTTTGCTCCGCTTAGTTTAGTGAAAACATTATAGACGCATAAATGATATCTGTATAATTTATTTTTTGAACATATACTGGAATGATGAAAATACTTTAAAAGAACTGGACTTAGCAGATGATTTTTTGTGTGCATAATGTCCCATAAACTAGAAGAACTGAAGGTTAAAATTTATAATTTAACATGCAGAACAAAGATGTGATGAAGATATCCAACCGACAACAACAAGCACCAATCACCACTAATACCGAAAGTCGTCTTTTTCACTCATCTGGTCAGCAGTGGTTTTCAAAGCCAAGCAGGATGAAGAAAACTCTCTATATTATCTCAGTACTGAATATCAGATGACTGGCTGGCCAGCAAACGTAAGCAACAAGGAATTCTGGTAACGAACCAACCAGCATTCCACTGCTAAATTAGCAAATATATAACTAGAAATGAAGTTGGATGGAGTGAACATGTACGTTGATGAAATGGGCTATCGAATGGAACCCGAATAGAGTGAGTTCAAGGCTGACGAAGAGGAGGTCTTGTGAGAACGGACAAGTGAGAGGTTATGGGCAGTCGTAGAGCCAGATTATAAAGACTACTGAGAATGGAGTGAAATGGTATCATGGTGCTGAATCGCTATACTCCACTGGGAACCCAAGAGCAGAATCGTATAAGTTAATGTTCATTTTCTACTGGTTAGCTCACACGCTTCAAATTATGTAAATTAGTGTTACATGAGCTTTCCAGTCTGCTCTTCACTTAAAGTATAGGTTTATATATTCTTTTCATTGTAGTTTTTCAGAGATTATGTTTTTGAGGCGGATTTGTTTATTCCCAGTTCTCTTTCAACACGATTAAATAGTAACATATCAATTCCAATTTTAATTCCAAAAGAATTCTGCTGTTTACCTTGTTTGGAGTAGAGCCCATTTCAGTTTCCAAAGGAAATATTGGTGAAATAATCACCTCGAACTATGTAACTTGAGAAATAATTCGTAAAATTGTAGACTAATTTGAAAATTGAAGATTTCACTTAAGGTTTTGTCAGTTCACCCACCCAAAAATCGGGTGGCTTCATCTCATTCAGTTATCTAAGCTGAGTAAAACCGGGTACACTGCTGATGAGCTCCACTCCAGAAGAGTGAAATGGCTGTCCGGCATATTTATACCACTTCGACCTGGTCGACTGGCAAGTACAACTGCTGGATGTGAGTAGCATAGAACCACTAATCTCTGTCAGCCAACAGAACATAGTCTTATTTCTGTTAATAACAGTAATTCTTTGATTACCATGAATTCATATGACTGTAGAAACTGATGACTACGAAAAAGTCATCGAAAAAGAAAATTTTTTGTTCACTATAATCTCAGTCCACTACTTCTTAGTCAAACTCTTCCAAAAATTTTTTTGTCAGATATTTTTCAGTGGTCCTTCAGTTGAAATGGCCTTAAAATAAATTCCACCGAATGTCAGGTTCTTAATTTCACTCTCAGATGCAAGCGTGACTTGGGTGAGCTGGTTAGTTCGCACGGTTTCACTATCATAGATAGCACTGAAGTTGAAACCACATCGAATGTTAAGTCCCGTGGACTGTGTATTTTCTCTGATCACCTTTCATGGTCTTCCCATATTATTCTCCAGAAAGATATGTCGTTTGATGTTCTCTGTATGGAAGTAAAGCCGATCTGATTTCATTCTGTCTCTATGGTTACCATTTGTTAATTCTTGTATACTGCATATACTACGTTACTGTTCCTCTCAGCCCTTCCCGGGCTAATTAAGAATGGATTTTTTCAAACAGTTGGTTCCCTTGATAAATTTCGATAAAGAAAGGAAGACGAAATTTGCAGTATAAAATGATATCATTCTATTTCAACGGTTCTCATCAACTGCAGACTACCTGAAATTACAATGGTTATATAGATGATAATAACATACTTTAATGTTCGAGTGGTGGTAGAAAAGATATACTATAAAATTGACGCATCTAAATGAAAGCATTACAATGTTTTTAGTTTAAGTTTTCATCATCAATTTATACGCTTTGAAATTGAAAACGAATTGAAATCTCGTCTGGCTACCTATGATACCCTACTAAGTGAGCTTATTATTATCTGCTGGCTCAAATTCATGAACTTTATCAAAGAGCTACAATCAAAAACATCCGAGGATTATGAAACTCAGCTGACAAAAGCGTTGGTGAAAGAGAAGCTAATTGAAGAAATCCCAGAAGCACCTGAACGCTACGTTTGTAACCTATCAAAATTACAATTAAACAAAATCGAATTAGAAGCCTTATCTCTAGGATTCAAGTTTCACGTCCCCAAGAAGCACATCAGTCGTATAGACACAGAAGCACAATTCGAGCACTTATACCATCAACTCTACGACCTGAAGCCCTTAGACGAAGATAAAAGAGGATGGCTAAAGTCTAAACTTGTTGATATTGCTAACCAATACCACATATCACCAATGGAGAAGCAGAAGATGCTGACCGAAGAGCATAGAATAGCTCTGAAGAAACTATATGAAAACGATGAAATCGTCATATTTAGACCTGACAAAGGCTCTGGGGTTGTTATAATGAACAAAGCTGATTATATACATAAAATGATGACAATTCTAAACGACAAAGAAAAATTCCAAGTAGACAACAAAAAAGATGCCACAACGTCATTTGAAAATAAAGTTAATAAATGTCTCAAAGAACTTCTAATGAAGAAACTAATCAACAGCGAAACATATAATAAACTGAAGTCAAAAGGTGGACGCCTGCCGTCTATGTACGGCCTACCAAAAATTCATAAAGCAAATGTGCCATTAAGACCAATCCTGTCAATGATTGACTCACCATGCCACAAGCTAGCTCGATGGTTAGCTGATTCTATAGAGCCCATTCGAATTAAATTTGCAACCCACAGCCTGAAGGATAGTTATCAATTTTCCAAGGAAGTTGACAATATCGACATATCAGACAAACTCATGGTATCGTATGACGTGACCTCCTTGTTTACAAATGTACCACTGATGGAAACAATTGATATAATTTGTAAACAAACGGATCTACTACCATTACCGGAAACAGAGATGAAGCGACTTCTACTGCTCTGCACAAAAGATATACAATTCAAATTCAACAATCAACTTTACCGACAAACCGATGGGGTCGCGATGGGTTCGCCTCTGGGACCTATCCTGGCTGATATCTTCATGGGCTACCTTGAGCAAACACAACTAAGTTCTGCTATCAATGGAACTACCTACTATCGCCGATATGTTGATGACACATTTGTTGTTTGCAACGATATGGATCACGCATCGGCACTATATGATCGCCTAAATGAGATACATCCAAATATCAAATTCACCATGGAATATGAACATAATAATGAGTTCAATTTCCTGGATCTAAATGTAAAAAGAACAAACGAAGGCACGGTCGAAAAGTCCATCTATAGAAAAGAAACCTGGACTGGACAATATCTTCACTATAACAGCTTTTGTCCCATAAGCTATAAACGTGGATTAGTGAGGACTTTGTATGACAGAGCCAGGAAGCTATGTTCACCAAACAGGGTCGAAGAAGAATTAGTTTTCGTCGAGAAATGCCTAAGGGAAAATGGATACCCTAAGGGATTTATTCAGAAGTACAGCAGAGAAAAAGATGAGAAAGAAAAGCATCCAACTGTAGAAAAGAAAAAAGTGTTTATCTGTCTACCATACAAAGGAGATGCAGTGTCACAAAAGATTGACAAAAGACTGAAAGGTGCAATAAATAGAAGCTTCCCAGCAGCAAAACTCATAACAGTATACAGCACCACTCCTTCTTTAATCCACTCAAAACTGGATAAATACCCTGCTGATGTCACCTCCAACTGCGTTTATGAATTCACGTGCACTTGCGGGAGCAAGTACATTGGAAGGACAGAAAGAAGGGCTTCTATCCGGTTTTCTGAACATATTCCCAAAAACCTGTGCCTGAAAGGAAGCAGATATTCCCAGAGTGCAATTACCAGACACATTATTGATACCGGACATCTCGTAGAGATTTCTAAGTCCTTCAAAATATTAAATAGACAAAGGACAGCAAATTTACTACGATTTGCCGAAGCAATCGCAATCAAAAGACTTAAACCAGACTTATGCATACAGAAAGAGAGTGTGATTAACCTCTCACTCCCTTGGTAACAGAATTTTGATTTTGATTAGTCATCTAATTCAGTGATCTCAACTCACTGAACAAATCTTAATCTCATAAACTGTAACCGTTTTTGTTTCTTGAGTTGCTATGTGAACCTAAAAGCTAACACTGTTCTGTTAATCAATTTTTTCTGTTTTCTCTCTTACCCCTCCCCCTCTTTTCAACTTTAAAAGCGTATAAATTGATGATGAAAACTTAAACTAAAAACATTGTAATGCTTTCATTTAGATGCGTCAATTTTATAGTATCTCTTTTCTACCACCACTCGAACATTAAAGTATGTTATTATCATCTATATAACCATTGTAATTTCAGGTAGTCTGCAGCTGATGAGAACCTGTGAAATAGAATGATATCATTTTATACTGCAAATTTCGTCTTCCTTTCTTTATCGAAATGAATTTTTTGTTACACGCTTTAGGGAAATTAAGGTGGTCAGTAGCGCGAGCGGGATGTTGTTAGACCAACTTGTTAACACTCCTGTGTGCAGTCACCTGGTTTCCTACTAGAAATTAGCAAATATTCCCCTGTCAGACTCTGAGCATCCTCTCCATACACAAATCTCTCTTTGCTTCCCATCAGGTAGAACTAAAAGCAACTGCGGAAGACTGTATGCTAGTTCGATCTAGTACAAAAACTCTAAACTACCTTATTTAGCAGGCACACATTTTAAGTGATGAAAAGTGTAAGACCGGAAATTACCAACTTCCTTAGGGAGTCTAGGTAATCGGAATTTATTTTGCTCTCACTGTTACATCGTTATTAATATTTTCACTTGATTTAGTTTTACATTCATTTCTTATCTGACGATGTTGTTAATGTAAATTATTATTGATTTAAATACCCTATCTTAATTATCACCACATGTAATGAGAAAATCAGACACAATATTGTATTACATGCTGAAGACTCCATATTTGTACAAAAAGTACAGTTTAGAGTAAAGCTGTTATTATTTACAGTTGGGCATCTTTATTAATCAGTTAAAATTTTATGTATTTTTTCGCTCAAATAAAACACAGAAACTCCTCAACGAAGCACAAAAGCAGATGAAAACAATTGGCGCATTCCCAGTGCTAATTCAGTCTTCCCGTCAATGGCTACACAAAGCCTACAATGACTACAAAGAGAAGTTGAACAACGCTGCAAAAATGGAATCATCAGATCATCACTTGATGAATCCAGAACACCTCAAAAATTGTTTACTAGTTAAACTAAAGTGTTTAACTGATTTTATTGCACTGATCAATAATGAAGGCGAAAACCGATTGGCACAATGTCGTAATGCTGTACAACAAATAGCTGACTCTACAGGACGTAATGATACTACGGCTGTGGTTATGTTAGCTCGTCGAGAATTGTCCGCCTTTCATGTAGAATTGAGTAATCTACAAAAGGTGAATGAAGCAGAATTGAAAAAAGTGAGTAGTACTGAGAATAGTAATAGTGAAGAGAAAGCTTAGAACCTTTACTTATCACCTAACCACTTAACACCTTTTACAATATAATTTTCTAATTTTCGTTGATTGATTGTTTATCGGACCGAAATATTCCATCACTATTGACCTAATATGGAGGCTTCAGTGATGTCTAAAAACTAACTTGATGTTATCTTAGTCGATAGTGACCAGCGGTGTAATCCAGGATGCACACTGTTCATTTTGTGACTCATCATCTGGATTTAACTGCCATCTCCAACGGGAGAGTGATGGTATTCCCACTGTGACTCCAACTCTGTCCCACTATGTTATTCAAGCTAAGGAACCCTACTGGATAACGCTGTAATATTTAAGACAATGGGCTCAGGGTTGTCGTCCCATTGAGAACAACATCACTCACTGGTGATCATAGGTGTAACCAGCTAACCAACGAGTCTGAAATAAGATAAAACTGACACTATGGATTCCACTGCTGGTCATCATCAACCAGATACTTTGATAATATGTCTGTGAAGAGTTTTCCCCTTGTGGAGTCGATCAAATTACTATAAGTATAATTTAAAACGCTTAATTCGTTTGATAAATTTGAATAACGCTGTATTTGAAAACGGAGTTCATATTTAAAGAATGAGATGGAATGCGTCTGCCCAATGAACATAAGTGGTGGCAGACTATCAGATTTGTCTATGGCGAAATGCTTTATTGGCTTGAATAAAAAGATTGTTACTATAGAACCACTTAACTGATATGAATTAAAGGTCAATCTGAACGAAAAATATTCTTCTTAATAATTTCTCTTCAGGTTCTTACAATTATAAAATATAATAATCATAGCCAGGTATGCGGTGGATACATTTTTAACGTAGAATAACAGATTAGCAGCTATGGGGTGTCAAAATAAGTAGTCGTATTTGTGTGAAAAACGTGCTCTGGGCTGAAATCGATTACAAAATATTTTGGTGAAATGAGAGACAATGGTTGTGATTAGTCATGATAGAATTGTAGAGTGTGGGATAGGAAAATTGACAAGTCAGTTCAAGGTGTCAGGTGAGTGGCTAGTACAAAGTGGTCTGTCTTAAACAGGATAAAGTAAGACTACAATGAGACGTTCATAATGAGATGACGAATATGTCAAATGAAACAGGTGGAGGCATATATTGAGAAAACAGATAATATCACTAAAAATAAGTCCGTATAAATGAAAAATTCGATAGTATTGAGGGAATGTTTGCATGAACGGCATAAATTATGACGAATAATAATAATTGTAATAATAATATTTGTATTAATAAGCAGAGGAAAAGAAAGCCAAGAGGGTTAAGGGGAAGGGGCACTCTTGATGAGAAGGAGAATCGTCACTCCAGGTTTGACGACGGTAGGAACAGCCTCTGGACGTGTTCTTTTTGGATACAAATTTCCGGTTTAGTCGATTTTATTGCAACAGCTTCAGTTATGTGTAGGAGACGTAAGAGAACTGTGCGTGATAACGACTTCGGGATTCGGTATATAACCCTCAAAGCTGTGTTGATATCGATACGATGTCCAGTACCGACCAAGTGTGACAGGATCGGGCTTTTTATGCACTTAATTTCCCCCTGTGCTGAACAAAGCTGGTAAATGTTCTCGAACACGTAGACGAACCTGCCTAATCATGCGCCCTATCTGACGTCTTATAATTGTAAGAACCTGAAGAGAAATTATTGAAAAGAATATTCTTCGCTCAGATTGACTTTTAATTCACAATATGGGAATATTTCACACTATTAAACCTTATAACTGATATGAATCACAAAACTGATATCAAAGTAGCATTCAGGATTACCACTACAACTAGTGAGGGGTCTCATTGAAATAAGATGAGAAGACAGCTCTCCGTAAAATTAAGCTCCCCAACTTGCAGCTTATGAAAAAACAACAAGGACAGTGTTGATTCCTTATTACTGCGTTTGATCTAATTGGCCTTTCCTTTTCCAAACAAACTGACTTGAACAATAAATACACTTGATCAGATTATTCGAAATGCATTGCGCGAATACATCTTATTTTCAAATGTTGGTTTGTTGGGACATGGTTGATTTCAAGTTCGATCACTAACTCTTATATCAGTTAGAGAACCATCAAAAAACGTGTTACAAAAATGTGTTTCGTCCTGATTTGGGACTTTTCAGCAATATGCATCAATCAACCCCATCATGGGGCGAATAGAAGGCTTGCAGATTACCTGTCGAGCTCACTAACCGTCTAGCCCGTGGGGAGGAATCCAGTCGCCCGTGAATGCTGTCTACTCACGAGTTTTAGCGCCACCACCAGCCAGTGTCATAGGTGGCATCACACCTGACCTAGCTGACTCCACTGGTTGCGATTTCTCACTAGAACGCCAGCCACTTCTGCTTCTAGTAAAATATGTTTTCTAATAATATTACAGAGTTGTCGTTATTATATGAAACATTTTATTTTATAACTCTAGTAATCTCAAGAGTATCAATACTTCAGAATGAATTTGAATTTCATAACAGTTAAGCCTTATAAACTACTGTTCTCCCCTTGTATTTCTACTTTCAGTCACTAATTTACCCCCTACTTTACTTCAACAGATTCAAGCAAAAATTGACAGTCACGCTAAACTGGTCAGTAGTATTGAAACTGAAGAGAATTGGTTGGACGATCTTGAGCAACAAGTCACCCAAAACTCCTCATCTCCAAACGGTTCTCAGTCCATTATTCAGATAATATCACGTATACAGGCGGATAATACTCTTTATAAACAATTACTTGGCAGTATCACTTCACATGGGCAACAGGCTTATGACCGATTACAGTTAGAAGCACAGTCATTGGAGGATACTGTGTCAATTGGACGAATCAATACTTGGCAAAGTCGTCTGCAAACATTAAAGCATAATTTAGACGAAAAAACTGTCAACACAAATGAACAGAGCAAATCACTGCAGGAATTCAAACAAGGTGTGGATAACTTCAGATTAAGCCTGAAGAATTTAGAGCGTCAACGGAACACAACTCTCAGTACACCGACAGTTAGTTATGTCAATATGGAGACTGACAGTCAACTACTGGAAGATTCATACTTGACTATGAGGAAGCAGATTGAAGTGAGTTTAACTGACTATGCGTTGTATAAAAAATTCATAATTATCGACTTGCATTATCTTTTTCTAATTATTGTGTCCATGACTAAATACTGTTTTTTGATACTTCTTCCCGGACAAAAGGCGATCTATGACCAGGAATTATACGGCTAGTTATACACTAAGTGTGAATGATCAGTAAACTAGAAGTTCTTTTTGATTTGACACTAGTAACTAGTGTGATGCGTCCAGTCCTCTGATTGGTGTAGACTGAATTCTATCAGTCAGGTTGTAATGTGACCACCATACTAGCTAGAACTAGAAGCTCACATGGTAGTAACTAACATCATACGTCCAGTCCTTTATTTAATGCCACCTAGCATGATGGCTACAATGCACCCCTGACTAGTAGTTATTCGTTAGTAGTTAACCAGAGTATTCATTACAGACCTACAGGATGTTGTCCATATGCCTGAGTGGCACAATAGTATTGTGGTGAGAGCTGTCTGCTAGCCAAAATTGGTAGACAGAAATTTACGTCAGTGTTTACTTCCTAAATCTTAGTCATGAGAAAAATAGGAACAAAGACTTTGCGTGGGCGGATACGATTTGCAGATATATGGTCCGATCATCAAAGAAAAGGCCACAAAAGATGACAGCGAGAAAACAAGCAAACAGAAGACGCTGTTTCTTTGCTACCAATAATGTACATAAAATCTATAAATATCTGTTGATTTCCTCGATAAATGATCTGTTGCGTGGCCCTTGTCTTCTGTAGTTACAGTAACGTGTCTGACTGCGGCACTAATCAACTTGGTTTCGAATCTCAGAGTTGATATGAGTTACTTCAAGACTGTACCTATGTCCTGCTGACTGGTGCCAACAAGCACGAAACCTAAGTCCAAGGCGTATGTATGAAAACTGTGTTCTCATTGAAAAGCTCATTTAGTGATGAAAATCTGATGCAGTGACCTTTTGGGTTGAATGTTTAGTTTACATATCATATGATAAAAACTGACTAATCATGTTCTAACATTTGTTTATACCATAGATATATTATATATTTACACAAACAGTAGTATTGTGAGTTGCCATAGTAAAAAATACTACTTATGCAATATGTTAATAGTCTTTTCTCGCGAATTATCTTTTATGATTATATATACGTGAATCACATTCACATTTTTCAGACTGTTCGGGTACTTGCAGTTTACACGCAGTTCGAGGTGAAATTTCACCATATTTCCTTTTGAAAACCGAAATTTATTGCAGTCACTGCCTATCTGTAGTGTGTTTGATACCATAAATAACAGTCATCTGAAGAAGCATAACTGGACTGTGCTGCACACCTATGATTGATTGATGTAGGGTTAATTGGATTTCCAGGTGACTGAAATGATTTGACCACCGGACTACCATTTCACTTGTTTGATGCACAGGACATCAACAGTGTGTACTGGTTTTGACTCAGTTCAGGAACTTGAATCACCGCGAATCATAGCCAAATTCTGAGGAGCTACTTGAGTTCAGTAATTCTGTAGTAAAACTAATGTAGGCATAATGTTCGGATGACGCACTACGAAACTCAGTCAAACCGATAATAATCCCCGGAATGACGGGAGGCTGAGTCTGAGGATAGCAATCACACTCCGTACAAAAAAAACAAACAACTTCGAAGACTAAAGCCCTGTGTTATACTGTACATAAACTATTGGTCTAAAATAATAAAGCAAGAATCCAGTATAATAATAACGACGTTATCTATTCCAAAAGCAGTTCATATAATAGAGCATGGGATTTTCAGCATTTGTTGCAGTAAATATTGTGTCTAATTTTCTGAGAATGCAAATAAAATGAACCACAGGAACTTTCTCACATTTACGTTGAGAATAATGCCGAAGTTGTGCAAAGTATAAAATGAGAATAATAACTATAGTAATAATAATAATAATAGCAGGGTTGTTTCAAGCAATAGTGTCTATACAGTGTATGGAAATTTAAGAATGCTGTAGAATATTGAATTTGATATTCTCTTGCTATGCGTCGGTGGCACAGTGGTTAGGACTCTCGACGACCGTTCACATGGTCCGGGGTTCGATCCCCTGCCGACGCACACCTGATATCTATGATCGGCCTGGAAAATTTGGGCTACCGATATCACATGCTGAAAATTCCATACCTGAACCAAAAATAAGGTGTGGAATCAAGCTGAAATCAAAAGATATATATATTCTCTTGCTTAAGGCACGGTAAGGGGAAAAACAAAAAAGTAAGAATTACTTCAGAACTTAAAAAGTGTTTACACTTGTGGAGGAAAACCAAGGGGACTGACTAAACATAAGAGAAATAATAGCAGTAAAAATTTTATGTTAAAATGATGGAGAAAATTGTTCATTTACTTGTGGAGAGAAGATTTAGTTAGTTAGTTCGTCCCTGACACATTATATTCATCCCATAAAATACGTGCCACCAAATATGGTATCGTGGAATTTTTATACCTAGGCGTACGTGCATAAAGTCTTCTGAAAAGACTTCTAGTTTTACCTGAGGAGATACAAGGTGAAAGATACCCAGAAGTAAAGTGAATGCTCACAGTCTGACAGAATTCCTTTCGAAAATTAGTTGCATGAAATTAAATGCCTATCAATGAAGGTGTCAACAATATGGTCCATTGGGAAACCATTCTGCCTACTGACAGTCTTCAGAGTTCACCGAAGTATGACATAGTCTCTTTTAAGCAATCTGGGAAAGAGTAAGGGTGACCAGTGAAGAAGAATGGGTAAGATGCACGAGTTGACAAACTGTAAGAGGAGGAAGGGTTCAGTTATGCCTGAGTGCGTTAACTTCTTAATGTGAAAAGTCAAACGAAATATTCTTTAGGAAATCGCTACGATACGGGAAGACCAGGACAGGTCAGAAGAAAGAATTAATCCAAGATACTTAACGTCAGATTTGATTTCATTTAACTTTCTTTTACATCGGAAACTGAAATTAACAGTCTAACACTTGGAAGGTTTTAGTTCAAGACCATTAGATGAAGACCGTTCGCTGACTCCAGGTAGAAAGTTGTTCATCATAGTACAGTCTAGCTGGAAGCTGACAGCTGTTGAAAGAGTGCCCAAGTTTTACATATATATTAGCTATTGAAACAGCTGGATCATCCGCAGACTGAACAAAGTTTATTTCATCATTGGAGTGAGGTAAGTCGTGCAAGAAGATAGAAAAGAGAAAACGTGAAAGAACAGCACCTTGAGACACGCCAGCCTTAGTAAGCAATGAATTTGACGACATCCTCTTACATACAATGTACTGCTTTCTTCCTGAGAAATAGAAATGCAGCTAATTGATTACCCAACATTCAGTTTGAGTTTCAGAAAGCTTGTTTAACAAAATATCTCCAGGTACTGAATCAAAAGCAGATGAGTAATCTAGGTAGGCACAGCGAACAAATTTGGCCCTCTTGTCTAAACTGGAGACAATGTTATGATTTAAGACTGCAGTTGCATTTAAAGTTGTTTGGAATAGTTAAAGGCTTTGAGTGAAGGCTCAAGATCAAGTAAAAGCAAATTTTCTATAATTTTTAGAAAAGAAGAGATTTTTATCAATAGGTATAAACTTGACACATAAATAATGCTGACTATATTTTTTCTGAGTTTTAGAATATTCTCCTGACTATTTAGAATAGGAATGAACCAAAATCTCTGGCGGGTAGTTTTACAGAAATACCTATTCAATGGTCTACAGACCACTTTTTCCACTGTGCAGGAAATTCCTCTACCAAATGTTTCAGAGCGAAAGCCTAGAATTATAATTTGTTGGTTGAATAGTACCTTAAGCCACCCAACTTTGAAATTGTTCTCAAGGTTTTAATTTCTGTTGGTAAACCAACGGCGAATTCCAGTGAATCTTTCGATAGTCCAGTAAGACATAATGACTTTGTGATTTTGAAGTGATCCGGTTGAAGTCATTGTTCATAAGCACGAAAACAATCAGTCAACATCAACGCCTAGAAGATGGTGATCTCCAGAGGTCATTTTACTGAAAGCCTACATGGAATGGACAATATCTCAATCTTAACAGTCAAACGAATGACAGCGGGAAAGAAGCTCATCTTCCCTTAACTTGATTTTAAAAGTAAATTACAACGTTAAAACTTTGTTGCAACGTTTATTACAACGTTTATCAACAGAAGATTGAAGATGTCACTAACCACAGCCTGTCCCGCAGCTAAACTGGTTCCCGTCTATCGGACGAAATGCTCTTTTGTGCAATCTAATGTCGACAGACACCCTTCTCGTGTAAACGCCAACTGTGTATACAAATTTACATGTATCTGTGTTAGCAGTTAAGTTTGAAGAACAGAAAGAAGGGCATATCTACGATATTTTATACATGTGCCAAAAAACCAATGCCTAAAGGGAACAAATGCTTTCATCAGTGTCACCATCAGGTATCTACTTGACCCTAATCATGGGATGGACGTCTTAAGGTCGTTGAAAACTATCAATAAGCAAAAGAGGTAAATTCTCGTTAGGTTTGCCGAAGCAATCTCCATCAAGCGCCTGAAACCCGATTTATGCATTCAGAGAGAAGTAGTTATCAGTTTTCCTTGCCTTGCTTGGTAAATGGATGTTTTCACCCTCTCTTTCATTTACTTACGTAACTCCAACAGACGGCACTGAGTATGATTACTATTGTTGTTTGGGATAAAGTGATTACTATTATGACTATTATATGCATATACTGATTGATTGAGATTTTGCTTACAAAGGAACTGTCTCTGTTGGTAAGTATTTTAAAATCGTTTCTGTGCATAAGCTTAATAATGTCTTTGGGCTGTAAGCGAATGATGAGAAGTCAATGAAATAAGCAATGATGTTACCACTTTATTCTGCAAAACCCGTTCTTCTAGCATTATTCAAGTAATAATTTAAAAGACTGATTACTGAGGGAACAAGCAGTACTCTTTTCAACAACCTGCTCTTCACCAAGTTCTACAGTAATAATAATAATAATGGTAAAGCTTTATTTGAGACAGTATGCTAATATACGGTACAAAAATCTTCAGCGTATTCACATCCAAAGTACTTTTTTCTTCATGCAGGATTCACATGTAAAGTAATAATCTGAAGTATATCTTCATTTCGTTGAAGAATTCTACAGCGTTTACTTGGAAGCAAGTTAAATCATGGCGCAAGCTTATGTATAAGGGCAACTCTAAAGAATAGCGGCCCAAACTGAAAATACCTTGCGAACGGACACGTGACCTTGACAGGGACAAATTCGACCAATCAGAAGACCTAAAAATAACGGCGCATAATTGTAATAAATCGTTTATATACAAGTAATGCAATGTTAAAAGCAGTTACAAAGGAAACTTTTCTCCTATATGTTGCAAAAAAACCTTCCAATTTCTCATAGGAGTCTTGATACTCATGTTAAACCAAGTCCTGTAGATAAACTCATCGAGATAACTGTATATCACTGCATTTCTTGATCGATTCACAGATCTGATAGGTCTTTTTAGGTGACTCCAGAAACCTCCGATAGAATTTGGATGAGTTCCATCAAAAGGATTGAGAAAACCATTTTTATGGCTGACCATTTGATGAATATAGCCCAGATTCGACAAGTGTCTGTAACTACTCCATTCATCTGTATGAATAGTCGTCCCAGGTAGCATTAAGCGCTGGATAATAGGCAATAATACACCTGCACGGCGATTAGGGGTCGCCTCAATATATCATTTCTGGAGGCTGGTGTTATGCATATATCCCCAGTACCTATTGTTGATCCGCACTCAATCTCCCTCGATTGTATTTTCTTCTTAACAAAAGTACCTAAGGAATCTGTAAATTAAAAACGCACGACATACCTTCTCGAACTGATTTCCTGGTTCGGCACTCATTTCACCATCAAACAAACCCATCGATGCACCTATTTTATCTTTGCATAGGAATGACACCTCCACATTGGCAATTTTTCGCCCTTCCTATCAGTCCGTTCTGCAAACAGTTGTCGAAACAAGATCTGGAGGGAATTTGCAACGACAAAGGTGTACAGTACCCATAAGTACGTCTGGACAAAACAGAGTTACCTGATTGGTTGCTCAAGGTCATTTGTCCATTCGCAAGGTGGTTTCGGTTTGGGCTGCTATTCTTTAGGGTTGCCTGTATAGGTCATTTGATATAACTGGACGATTAAAACAATGATAAATTCAGATGAAATTAAGCAATTTGGAGGAGAGTAATTTTGGTAACCCAATGATTTAAGCAGGCCGCCTATTTTTTATTTATATGTTCATAATAGTTAAAGAATTATTGTCATTGTCAGCATCATTAATGTTTTCTTCAAATAACGTTGAATGAAGAATATCTGTGGATTAAAGTTGGAAAGTCTCTGTGACTGATACTATACATAACAATCTCATATTTAACTGAATAGTAGATAAACAGTGCGTTGATGGTACAGTGGTAGGATACTCGCCAATCAATCATGTGGTCCAGGGTTCCGTCTCCGGCCGACGCACTCCTTTACCGCACTAAGCCAGTAATAAGACTGGTGAAGAGGGAAGGTTGAGCATGAGGCCAGCAACCCCATCCCGTAAAAACAATCACCACTGCTACTGAAACTTCACAGCTCTAGCCTGAAGGCGTATGTTCCACTGGGAACCTACAGGAATAAAATAAATTACTGAAACTAAAGCAGAATTTCTGAGTTCCGTTACAGGCCAAGATAGCAATACTGGCTGAACATGTTTATTTTGTATGCAGGAGTCTGGTTGTTTGAAGCAAATTGCAATGGCCTCTGTTGCTTGTCAGTATTCAGCATCTAGAGGCTTTTAGTTGTTTATTTCGGTAATCGATTGGCAATAAAGAAAGATTCTTCAGTGTTCTGGCTTTATGGCCTGTTTGCATCAGATGGTTTTCACTACACCTTTATTTAGCAACACTACTTGGTGATGCCTAGCACTAAAACTTTAGCTGCCTGAGCAACAACCAGTACAAATGGGCTCCACATGAACAAGGGAACCGATGGATACAAACATTAGTGATTTGGATGGATACTTCGTCTTTTGGATAGTCCTACTGTCAATAAAAGAAATGGGATGGTCTCTGTATCGACTAGAATACAAAACCAGTGAATTGCATTCCATATTATGAATTAAAAGTCAATCTGAACGAAGAATATTCTAGATATGATAGAGAAGATTTGTAGCTCAGGTGGATGATTTTGATATGGTTGTGTTCTCTGAGCTGGATGATTAATTTGCAAATTAACTCTACAAATCTATTATGATTAATCACCACCATTGTCTCCCGTTTAACAATATTTTGTGATCTATTTCAGGACAGAACACATTTTCCACGCAAATACGACTATTTCTTTTGATACCCGAAAGATGCTAGTCTGTTATTCTACGTTAAAAATGTATCCGCCGCCGTCACATAACTGGCTTTCATTGTAAAGACTACAAATATTATAATAGTTTTATAATTGTAAGAATCTGACGAGAAGGATGTCTCGAAAAGAATATCCATTGTTCAGATTGACTTTTACTTTTACGATCTCCTATATATGTTTCAGCCGTCTATTCAAACATCGATAGTGACCCCAGTCGAAAACATCTCATTTAAGGTAAAACAGCCAAACAAAAGTGAAAGGCGAAATTTGCAGTATAAAATGATATCATTCTATTTCACAGGTTCTCATCAGCCAACTTCAGACTACCTGAAATTACAATGGTTATATAGATGATAATAACATACTTTAATGTTCGAGTGGTGGTAGAAAAGAGGTATGGTTGCGATGGGTTCGCCTCTGGGACCTATCCTGGCTGATATCTTCATGAGCTACCTTGAGCAAACACAACTAAGTTCTGCTATCAATGGAACTACCTACTATCGCCGATATGTTGATGACACATTTGTTGTTTGCAACGATATGGATCACGCATCGGCACTATATGATCGCCTAAATGAGATACATCCAAATATCAAATTCACCATGGAATATGAACATAATAATGAGTTCAATTTCCTGGATCTAAATGTAAAAAGAACAAACGAAGGCACGGTCGAAAAGTCCATCTATAGAAAAGAAACCTGGACTGGACAATATCTTCACTATAACAGCTTTTGTCCCATAAGCTATAAACGTGGATTAGTGAGGACTTTGTATGACAGAGCCAGAAAGCTATGTTCACCAAACAGGGTCGAAGAAGAATTAGTTTTCGTCGAGAAATGCCTAAGGGAAAATGGATACCCTAAGGGATTTATTCAGAAGTACAGCAGAGAAAAAGATGAGAAAGAAAAGCATCCAACTGTAGAAAAGAAAAAAGTGTTTATCTGTCTACCATACAAAGGAGATGCAGTGTCACAAAAGATTGACAAAAGACTGAAAGGTGCAATAAATAGAAGCTTCCCAGCAGCAAAACTCATAACAGTATACAGCACCACTCCTTCTTTAATCCACTCAAAACTGGATAAATACCCTGCTGATGTCACCTCCAACTGCGTTTATGAATTCACGTGCACTTGCGGGAGCAAGTACATTGGAAGGACAGAAAGAAGGGCTTCTATCCGGTTTTCTGAACATATTCCCAAAAACCTGTGCCTGAAAGGAAGCAGATATTCCCAGAGTGCAATTACCAGACACATTATTGATACCGGACATCTCGTAGAGATTTCTAAGTCCTTCAAAATATTAAATAGACAAAGGACAGCAAATTTACTACGATTTGCCGAAGCAATCGCAATCAAAAGACTTAAACCAGACTTATGCATACAGAAAGAGAGTGTGATTAACCTCTCACTCCCTTGGTAACAGAATTTTGATTTTGATTAGTCATCTAATTCAGTGATCTCAACTCACTGAACAAATCTTAATCTCATAAACTGTAACCGTTTTTGTTTCTTGAGTTGCTATGTGAACCTAAAAGCTAACACTGTTCTGTTAATCAATTTTTTCTGTTTTCTCTCTTACCCCTCCCCCTCTTTTCAACTTTAAAAGCGTATAAATTGATGATGAAAACTTAAACTAAAAACATTGTAATGCTTTCATTTAGATGCGTCAATTTTATAGTATCTCTTTTCTACCACCACTCGAACATTAAAGTATGTTATTATCATCTATATAACCATTGTAATTTCAGGTAGTCTGCAGCTGATGAGAACCTGTGAAATAGAATGATATCATTTTATACTGCAAATTTCGTCTTGTTTTCTTTATCGAAATTTATCAATGGAACCAAATGTAATAAAACTAAAACTGTTTCCTTAACTTCCCTTAGTCGTCACTGTTTTCATCTTAGGACACTCCCGGAAGTTCCAAAGTGAATCTCCGCCCACCAACGCTCTCCTAAACGTCGCCTAGTTTTCCACTATGTAGTAAGATGAGAGAATAGCGATGAATTGCTCTGAGTTTGGCAAACCTGGGCTAGAACTAGTGAAAATGTATTGGCCTGTTGTTCGGCTGAGAACACAGAAAGAATGAGGTATCTCATAATAATTTCTTCATCACGTTTTTGCGGTAACTTTTTGGTTCCATATAATCGTAACCATCTATTTGTCATTGCTCATCCCGTACTTTTCCTTACCTTTTCCCCCCATTCAAGGATCTTCGTGTAAACAGCAAAACCGGATTACAAACAAAGTATAATAATTTAAAAAGTCAGGCGAAATCGCTAAACTTCATTCCTAAAGATCTGCATGAATGTCAAGAGCAAATCGACCAGTTCAATAAACAGCTCGACCAGGATTACAACGAAATCACCTGTACACTTGGAGAGGTCAACCAATTAAATAAATTAGTGGACAGCATAAAAACTGTTCTCAAGTTGAATACTGATAAAATTCTCAGTATCACTAAAAAGGAGCCTCTAGGCACTAGCAGCCTCGACGTCAATGAGCTTTACACATTTTATCAGTCGAACTTTGACGAAATGAAGTTGATTTCTCAAAATCTCGGTGTTGAACTAACCCGTGAATCACCGTCGAATCGTAATAAATCTTCAAAACTCTCTCAACTTGAAGAACAAATTGTCCAGAAAATCGATAGCCTGATACTGACTCGTCCCAAAGTCTCCAGCTTCCTGTCGACAATGCAAAGTGATCTACGCAGTAAAATCAATCAGACAACAAGTGATGCCTTTGAAAGGCTGTCTGAAGCATCACGTTTCGTCACTGCTCTACACACAGTTGTAATCTGTTGCAAAGAGACCCAGAGCAGCTTGGATTCAATTGAAAAAGATTACAACTCTGCTTATTTAAAGATCTCCACGGAGTCAGGGGAATATATGATAAAACAAATGAACGATCTACTGGGCCGAATAAATTCAGAGGCGAGTGTAAATCAAACCACACTGATTGACTCTATTCAAAATGTCTCATCAAAATATGCCTATTCAAGCATAGATGATATTCTGTCTACCTGTTTAAAACACTACACACGAAGAAAAGAAGCATTGACAGAGAAAATTAAGGGTACAATTGAAAAATGTGAACAATCCTTCAACCTTGAGAATAATATTTTGGAAAATTTAAGAGAACTAGACACTGAAGTGAATCAGTTATCAGATACGATTATGAATCAGATGTCAGATAATATATCAAATGCACAGAAAGCATTAGATAAAGACTTTGAAGGTCGAATCGATGTGGCGTCAGATAAATATGTAACATTGAACAGTCGTTATGAAAAGCTACGTAACAATCATAAGCAAGCAAATTTAAATAATGATAAAATCAATGAACTTATCGTTTCTATGAGTGTTAAACTTGAAAATGTTGATGAAAATTTATCCAGCTGGAAAAATTCTTATAAGACACAAAAAGAGAATTTCATATCGCTTCAAACAAAACTAAGTCAATGTAAAGATCAGCTGAATAAAATTCGGTCAGAAATTTTAAGAAATTTGCATAAATTTAATGTGAAATCAACTCCATATACTTCATTGAAACAAAGTTTAGAAATGATTATTGATGAGTTAACCGATTATCAGAGTGATTTCAGTAATATTCATCAGATAATCATCAATGAAAAAGATGTGAAATCAATTGAACATTTCAAAATCAATAAATGTATTGATTTGCATAAACTTGTGATTGAAATTATACAACTAAAGAATGGTAATACATTCACTGTACTCAATCCTTCAGTTGACTGGAATGATTTCGTCACTGAATTGAACTATTCAGTCGAATGGATTCAAGATATTCTTGATGAATTCAGAATGATTTTAACAGATTTAAATAATTTATTGACCAAAATGGACAATCTGAAAAAGTTGTATGAAGAAACTAAAAACATTATTTCTGAAAAATGCTTACCTGCTGAAATCGACATTGCATGTATCACAGTAAAAAGTGAAAAATCATCCATCAAAGGGAAACTTATTCATGACCTGGAAACAATTAAAGAATATCAATTAATCAGTATACAAAACGATTTTAAAGCAATTAAGCAAAAAGCTAATCGATTATTGAATAAACCACAAACAGGTGGACAATTCAAATTTATTGATGATGCACAAATCTTTGAATATTGTGAATCAATGGAAAAATCAATTGACTTATTAGTCAATAATTTAAATGATATGATAGCAAAATATAAAAATTTATTAGAGAATGAAAATCAGTTGTTTAAGTTGTATACCTCAGTGAACGAATGGATTGAAGGTTACGAAAACGAGTTGTCTAACCTTGAAGACAATATCCCAACATCAAATATACAAAATGTACAGTCTTCACCCACTCATAAACATATTGAAAAGCATATACAAGATGCAAATAATTTAGAGAATAAGTGTAAACAAGGTGAAAAATTATTGGAAATGTTGATCAATAAGTTAGAACAACAAAAAGAACAACAAAAGTTGACGAATACTCCAGAAATCAAAACACTTCATGAACGTATCACTGGATTGAGTAGATCACGGTTGAGTAATCTTAAAAGTGCCTTATTAAACATGAAAGACAGCTTAGATAGCCTTGAAGTGAATGGAAGGAATATAGATGAAGAACTGTCAAAGTATGAAAGTCAGCTTAACAGGCTGAAACAAACGTCCACTTCACTGTTAACGATGATGAAAATGCATAATATTGACGAAATAATGAAAGAGGAGATCTCCACATCAAATGTTGAAAAGTGGTATGCATTACGCAATGATCTTGAAGGCTTTAAACATTGTAAACTCGATCCTTATGAGGTTATGCATAACAAAATTTCCATAAAACCATCCAAAGACTCTCTGACTGGCTATATCAATCGTTACAACAAGTGTTTAATAGCAACCAATGAGAGAATCGGAGAAATTGAAGAAAACGTTATGAAATTGGAGAAATTCAAAGGAAGTGTACGAGAATTTAACAAATATTATGATGATGCCAATGCGAGGTTTAAACAGCTTATGATTCATTTGAAATTAGACTTGCCTGAAGACTACTCACCTAGTAAACTAAGTGAAGTGTGTAATTTATTCATCAAAAATACACAACAAACTATAGCTAATCTGAACGATTTCAGTTCAAATTGTCTTGATAAGCTACAAGCTACTCAAACTCAAATAAGTAGTCAAAGTGCAGAGGGGGAACTAAAAGCGGCATTTGAAAGTTCATCAATATTTAATCAATACACATCATTTCGATGTGTTCTGAGTGATTATATTCATGACCTTAGTGTAGCGAACAGTGAATTATTCACACTCCACGTGGATGCTGTTAATTACGAAAAGTGGTTTGAGAATCTGCAGCATCAGTTCCAGGAAACGAAAGGTGAAGCGCTGACCGAGGAAATGTTATACAGTAGTAAAAGCAATATATATCATTCTAACTCATCGCTGTCAATCAGTCAGCTGGATGAAGAATCTAAAATCAGTGCGTATAACCTGTCACAATTAAATGCCCATTATCAGAAAGCTCTACAAAGGCTGCGTGAATTGCAAAAGTCCGCCGCCAACGAATCGTTAACTAGTCTTGCCGAGAGATTTTCAACTCTTATCCGACAACTAGTCAATACACACAGCTCACTGGCTAAATTAACTACTGAACGACAACTGGACGGAAAGACAACCAATCATCGTGTAGACCAGATCTGCAATACCGTGAAACAAACACAGCAAGGTGTTATTCAACAAATCAATCAGGATGTCAATACGATTCAAGCAAAGTTGACGTATTTAACGCGATTGATCCAGTCGAATAAAGATCTGGATGCATGGATCAAGGAATTCACTGAACTGGTACATCACTTAAAAGAAGATAGTGTCAATCGAAAACAGTTTCCCCTTAAAGACAATAGTAGGACAGATGAAATTCAATTAAAATTGGACATCGGTAAAACATACACTCAACCTATACACGAATGGGTTGAACAATTAAAACAGAATGAGGTGAACACTTCAATACAAGATTTGCTGACTGAACAAATCCACCGATCGAATCAAATCTTTCAGTATGCCAGAAAACAAATTGAAGGTATTAAACACGAACAGAATAAACAGAATGAATTGTTGAAAAGTTTCGAAGCAGAATTTGTTACTATTGAAAATTGGTTTAAAAAATGGAAAGAAGCTCATGCTTCAGTAAAGGTGAAAATTTCAAATCTCCTATGTGATAAAAATCGATTGGATGAGATCAATAAAATCGATTTTGAAATTGACAATATAATCAACAGTTTGAATGAATTAAAAAAAGAGTTAGTAACTAAAAATACACAAAGCCTGCTGTTAAATTCTGAAAATAATGGTAACACTACTACGAACAATAACATCAGTAATATCGAGTTTAATCGATCAGCTCAGAAAATGCTATTGATTAGTGAAATTGACGAGAACCAACAATCAGTCGAACAAAATATTGTTTCTTTAAAACGTGTAAAAGTTAAAATACGCGAATTGAGCATATCTCTGAAAAAGGCTAAACAATGGGCAGGAGAAGTTTCAGAACAGATGCCAAGGATACGTGATGGGAAGGTAAGTTATACTAATCATACATAATCAGATTCTTGCTTCTATTTATCGTTTTCATTTTTGATTAAAGTTATTCATATTTACTTTTTCTATATAATCATAATATTATAGGTCTTCAGTGGTATATTTTCATCTCATTAAGTCGTTCTTTCAGCCAGCTTAACGACTGACAACAAGCTTGGATCTCAGCCTTTTCATTTGGCTTTCCTAAAACACCCTTAGGTCCATGCCCAGTTCACTGGCTCAAATTCAGTCCTGCTCTGAGGAACACCTACCTGGTGTTTTCTTTCAGTTGAATGTCTCAGCATATGTCAAATCCACCTCCATTTCCTCCTGCATATTTACTGTCTGTCAGAGATTCTTGTTGCTTGCTGATCGTTCCTACCCGGCCGGCTATCTGATCTTCAGAATAGAGGCTTTCGACGACAGTTTGCAGAAGCCTGTAGGGAATGCTTTTCGTGACACGCTCAGTGAGTCTGGGAACAGTATAGAAGTATTGACCTATCACCAGTGTTAAGTAATATTCACATCTTGGTCATTGTGCTTAGTAGGTACTGTTGATGTCCCTCCTAATTCTGACAACATGAAGATGACTGGCCCTGGCATCCTTGTTTGTGTTTCCACATGCAGTTGAACACATATAGCCGAAATACGTGAAACTACTGATTTCTTCTAGATTCCCTCCAGAGAAGGTGACTAGTAATTTTTGTCGGTTAAGTGCATAAACCATTTCTGTCTTCTCAATCTTCACCTGAACTTCTGGCTTTCTTGCCTCTTCTGTCAAGTTTTTGCTATTCGCTTGTCAATCTCCGAATTAATGTGACAATAAGTACGAATAATCAGCGAAATCCAGATCTTCTAAGATGTTTTTGTCTGTCCAACGTAGACCCTTTTCTCACTCTCATGCACAGTCTGCAGCACGTTCCAGGCGATGACAATGAGAGGAGGTACTTTGGTGATAGTAGACAGCCTAGTATTTCTCCTTTCCTTATTTCAATGAATTTGGTTATAACATGCTACTTTTTAGCAAGGATGCCGAATTCAACAGCTTTCTGCATTGGGATCATGAACTGCCAGGCGCTAAAGTTCATGCGCTGGCCTGAGGATTTCACACTAGCGGCTGAATGTCCAGTGTGTATGTGTGTACTTATGAAGAGTCACCAACTGGTATGAAATGGCTGTTGGCTCCATCTGGTGGAATCTTGTATAGAAGTGAATATTTTCCATTAAGTTTTAAGTACAATTCTTTTCTGTAAATCTATTATAATGATTATTTGTGATTTTTCTCTTTGTTAATAATAGAGTCCGATTAGGATTTCACCATATCCCCTGAGAAGAAATGAGACTGTTAAATCCGGTCATTGGAAAACCAACTATCCTACAGATTCCCAGTATGCAACCAGTACATTTATGCCTCAATCAAAACAGCTACATTTAAAACAATCTGGTGAGTTTAGGTCAGCAACACCACCGGCTTTCTGCAGTCTAATCCAACAGACACGAGGTAAAGCCGAAGCTGTGAGCAGTTTCATTGAAGATGTGACTAAATCAGCTTCTTTGACAGCCAAAGACGTCAACCAACTATTAGACGAACTGGAACCGGATATATCTGAATTACGAATGGATTCTGGAGTTATAACAACTGAAATCGATACCATTCAAAGTCAAGTTGAACAAATCATCACGAGTGCTATCGATTATAGACAGGAATTAGAAGAACTTATTGATCAGCTGAGTCATTTGGAGGATTCACTGAACAATTGTAAAAGTTGGCTTAGTGTCAGTTATACACAGATCAAAAAGATGAGTCAACAGGCTATATCAGGAATTACAGACCTGTCAGCAGTGAATCAATCCGCTGGAGACCAGGACCAATTATTGATTGACATATTTAGTCCACTTGATGGGTTAATTCAAAGTTATCAGGTAAGTAATCTGTCATTTCCTGACGTCTGATTGACTGTTTTTCTGTTTATCTTTGGCTCATCAGAGTTCACTTTTATTTACACCCGATTTTCAATGGTCCTTTCATTGGGTTTTGTCGATTGATCGCAGACAGAATATTTAGTTGAGTAATTCTTATTGGACAGCAGCAGGATAAATGGTTATAAAACACACATCGGACTATTAGCTTAAGAGTAGAACTTTGGCAGTGTGAGTAAATTTTTCTTAGAGAAACACAGTGATACTGTATTATTCACAGTGACATTTAGAGAGCAATTTATTTCTCATAACAAGGTACTTGCATAAACTTCGATTAGATAATTCCACTACTTCTTATCTTTTGATTCTATCGGTAATAATATTTTACATATCTATTGTGTAAGCGTTGTGACATTCCTATTCCACATATAAAGTTACAGATTCAATGCAGAAAGATTCAGTAATCAACCTTCTTACTCCACCAACTTATATTAATTTTCAGAACTGTGGGGTTTTTTGACTGAACACTAGTCAGTAACTAGTGCAATGTATCTATTCCTGTCTTCGGTGCCTTGCTGAGGAGTGCCACCTGGCACCAAACCTAGTTTCAGGGCTTCCTGCTGATTGTCTCCAACCATCTCATAGAACTGTAGCTTTGTCTCACTCTAATGTATGTTGTACGTGCATTACCGATGCCGAGATTATCTATAAACTATTCATCTTTCTTGGGATCAGTTATTCTAGACTTAGCTAATAATATATACTTTACCCCAAAACACTACTTGTGATACAGTGTGGAAGTCTTGGCGTTTGATACAATATTGTCTCTAATTCACTCCATAACATCAGAAGCATAAATAATATTACAGGATTGATAATAGCAGCTATTTTGGTATTAGCAGTGACAGTAAAGTCAAAAGTCCACAACAACTGTAACATAATAATAATAATAATGCTAACAGCTAAAATTATCAGTTAACTGGAATAGTTTGAGGATTTCGTCATAGACCCCATTGGAAAACTTGACAGCTACTTCCATTACTCTCAGGTTTTCCAATCGTTCTCTAACCGACGTCAGTCCATGATGAAATCCTGTAACCAATCAATCGAATCCCTGCAAACCAATACTTAAAAGTCAATCTGATGCTCACTAGTGACTGGCCGTATTAAAGGTAGTTACCTGGGTTCTAGCTGGAAGTCGTGACCAGTGGGATACAGCAGGTAGGGTATGATGACAAATATTCGCCAGATATGAAATTCGCTGATGGTCGCGGTATATCCTGAATTGGCAGAATTCAGAATTCAGGGACCATTGGATAGGTTGGTTGTCTATGAGCCATTGTGTCTTGTAAATAAAAGGCTCTGGGTTCGGCCTACAGTGGGTCCATACTGATGAACAGTCCCAAACAAGGACTACAGAAACAACTGTCCAGTACTCTCTGAAAGTTTTCCAAAGTTTTCTAACCTATCGATGTCATTTCATGATGAAATACTGAAGTCAATCAAATTCCTGCAAACCAACACTTGAATTGGAATAGTTTTGCCATAGATTACTAATAGGAGAATTAAAAGAGCCACCCATTTTGCTGATAATGTAGTAAGTCGTAGGTTTCACGCTTAACATTTCCTCTATCACATAGAAAGCAGGCTGACCAAATACGGTATCGCTGAGTTTCTGCACTTGCTTGTACGAGCATATAATCATTTATTATGACTTCTACGTCTACCTGCTGAAATGCAAAGGGAGACTTCAGAATAGAAAGGATGTTGAGGGTTAGACAATATGGATATGGACTATCTCTCTTGCACGAGTTCAGGTGTCTATCAACTACTGTAGTAACAAGCTGACTAAGTGGAACACCACGTGCCTTGACAACATTTAATACCCTGCACAATAAGACGTAGTCCTTTTTGAGCGACCCAGGAATGACTTAGGCAGAGCAATGAAGAACAGTCGGTAAGCTGCAAGAGTTATTAAACTGTAGAAGTAGAAGTTGAGTAATTCCTAATTATCGTAACTTCTCAATGTAATAGGTTACATGGAACATTTTCGTAGAAATTAACAAAATAGGGAATGACCAAGTAAGGTCAGAGGGTAGAACTGTTACAAAGTGTTTTATGCTTGACTTAATTTCTATTTCATTCCCCTCCGTTTTATGCTCCAAGAACCATGTGAACGAACCAGTTCTTGTAGGTCACGTTTATACCTTTAGGTGAAGTTAATAGTCTGACATTTAGAGGGATATAAGGTAAGACCATTTAGCTTAGACCACTGGCAACAAAAATGCTACTAAGTTTAGAACAGTAAGAAGGAGATGTAACTGGCAGCGAGACAGTCACATCATCAGCGTGCTTGACGAAGTTAATTAGCTTGATTTGATATGATTTACTCGCTGAATTCTTACGTTCCGATAGTCTGCTTTCTTCCAATTTCCTAGTTTGACATTTGTAACTAACTTTTTCGTCATCACGTGGTATTCGGAAAAAACTATATTGATTTATCCTAACTGGATCTATCAGGTCTTTAAGCCAACACAGTTTTTCTCTGAATGGATTGGTTGATGTCATTTCAACCTTATCATTCTTTCTTTCACCCACATGCAGTACCACAAGAAGGTGGGGTAGAGTCGTACCATTCGTCCGCTTGAAAAATGCTTTCAAGAATAAGTAACTGAGTACATAGCTGAGTAAAAGAACATCTTGTGAACTTAGGTCATTCAGCACAATTTGAAGTCTTCCAAATTCCTATAAAAGAACCGGTCAAACTTCTCAAAGGGCGTGAAATTTAGGTATTTGGGTATAGCTGAGGCAACAGAGATCCAAACGTTTAAGTCCACACTATTATATTCAAAGAAAACACATCCAACCATTGTCTTCAACATGGCCATCATAAACAGTCAGTTCTCTTAATGGTAATTGTCTTATTACGAATTTCTGCCAAAACATCTTGTCTCCTTTGTTATTAGTGACTTTTTAATCCTCGATTGCACAAAAAGTTAATTTTCTAAAAAATTATTATCCCACTATGTGTTTTATCTGATCCTCGTGTTTATTTTGTAATTATTATATTATTACTTCGAACCTCGACTGGAAATAGACCGAGAACCTTATCACCCATGTACTATATATACACGAATGTACTGCCTATTTGATCATGACTTTGTCAAAAAGAAAATTTTCTTCTCTGCGATCGTCTTTTAACTTTTCCTTTCAACTTGGTTGGGCGGATGTAGAGGTTAATCTCTGAATCTTTATTCATCGAGTCAGTATCAAACACAAGCAATCAAAATAAAGTAATGCATATACTGGATAACTAGTAGTAGGCATCTAGTCTTTAGTTTAGTGCAAACTTAAATGTATCATTCAGGTTTGCGATGCGGCCACCATGCTAGGTGGCTCGACAGTCATAGACGAGGTCATCTGCGAGCTTGAATAGCTCAGTGGTAGCTTTTCTGAATGCAGTGTTGGGTGATATGGGTTTGAACTTCAAGATGGGCATGGATTCCATCTAGATTGCAGATACGCCATTCTGATGGGGGCCAACAAGCCCAAAACCTAATTCCAAGGCTTCCCAGAATTATATTCTGCCACGCAGTGCCCAAATTCTATTCTTACACCAGTTTTATCAATGTAGGTCAAAATAGTTACAGGTCACGATTACAGTTAAGAGGTGGGGAAATGAGGCAAAGAAAACAGAAAGGTAGTGAAAAGACGAAATCGACTGGCTGTGTGTCCTTACAACTATTAGAAACGCATAATATGTGTGCAAATTTTGTGCACTGTGGAAAGATTTCATAAAACTTGAGCACTGGAGCACTAATCTTTTTTACTTTTTGCACTTATAAAGACAGTTCCAGCAGTTGGTATGGTCATAGACAGTAATCAAAACCTTATAATTGTGTATAAACGACGTAGAAATATAATTATAATCAATATGAGGAAGGGTCCATTGGTCCATTTTCGGGATGGATATCGACCCCTATATCAACATTTTGGTAAATTAGACCCATTAGAGAGTAAAGAGATGTTTCATTCATCGAATTACAGATTCATGAAAAATGAGAAATCATCATCATTTTCCAGATTTTTTTTACTCCGCTTGTTTCTTTTTGCCTCTGTTGCTTTTCACAGGTATTCCAAAGTGAACTAATGTCTCGTAAGTCAGAATTAACTCAACTGAACAGTTTATGTGAAATAATTCAGAAGAAAACTGGTGATTCAAGTGCTAAAAATTCTTTAAATCAACTATTGGTTCAAATTCATAGTTTGATTAAAAGTTGTGAGGTGAGTGTGCTACTTTTCAACAGAAAACAAAAAGAAGAAAACATCGCAAAAGATTGAGATTACTGTGAACAAAGAATATTTTTCTTTCGATAACTTATTCTTCATTATTGTGGCTGAATAAAGGCGTAGTGGCGTGGTGAGAGCTGGCTGCAAGAGAAATTTGTAGACATTAATTTACGTCAGTGTTTATGTCCCAAATGTTGGTCGTGAGGAAAATAAGAACAAAGACTTTGCGTAGGCGCATACAGTTAACATATAGATGATCTGGCATTCAAGAAACAGCCACACTAGTAGTAGTAGTAGTAGTAGTAGTAGTAGTGATAGTGTAACAACAGAAGACAAGGGCCAGTCAAAAGATCGTTTATTACCGAAATCAACACATATTTATAGATTTTCATGTACATGATTATAGATTATTGTTAGCAGAAAAACACAGTCTTCTGATTGGTTGTTTCTCACTTAAAGTTAATCATTCATCTCTTTGTGGCTGTTTTTTGAATGTCAGATCATCTATATGCTAACTGTATGCGGCTACGCAAAGTCTCCTCTGATCGGTTGTTGAGTCAGTCTTTGTTCTTATTTTTCTCGTGACCAATATTAAGGACGTAAACACTGATTTTTATATTTTCAGTATTTTTAATATATTTATGCGTTGAAGTTTCTGTAGCAATTTGGTTAAGTTTTGGGGGCGGAGTTGCTAGCACCACGTCCCAACGTTCCCTCTTTATCCGGGCTTGAGACCGGCTAGAAAACTAGCGAGCTAGTAACCTATACTGAAGATCAAATGGCCGGAAAGAATCAACTAACAAGAAACTATGGGAGCGAAAAAAGCAAGAACCAATCGCCCAACAAATATGCAGGAGAAAGTGGAGATGGATCAGACACTCGCTGAGGAGGTCGCTGGGTGACATCGCGTATCAGGCCCGTGAGTGGAATCCGAAAGGGAAGCGGCGAGTGGGTCGTCAGTGCAAGGGTGAGATAGAGGAGATCGTGTGAAGAGGAGTTGAAACAGTATGGACTAACTAACATGGATGGAAGTGAAAAGTAGAGCAGAGGAGAGAAGCAAGTGGAGACATGCAGTTGAAGCCCTATGTTCCACTAGGAACCCAAGGGAACAATAATAATAATCACTGACGTAAATTACTGCCTACCACTTTTGGCTAGCAGCCAGCTCTCACCATATTGTAGTAGTAGTAGAATAAGAAGAAACCGTCAGCAGTTTGATATTACATCACCCTCTTTCCAAACAGATCATAATTCTAGCATAGAAGAGTTCTTTTCTATCATCTGTTGGGTAACTAAAAGAATTACTGAAGGCTACTAAATACTTCAAACGTCAGAGGTCAAATAAACTCAATTCTGTGTACAAAAGAAACAAGTTCAGCCTTAAATTGGCTAACCTAACCTGCTGAGGAGTCTATATGACTTCATAAGTCCTGTATTTATTCTCTTAATTTTTTAGATATTTAATTTACTGTTTTACTAATGTATATTATTGCTTACAGATGCCTTTAAACTGCAATTCACTGATATTATTATCAACAAGAGAAATATTTTAATCACTGTGGATATATATAACTGTAGAACCAGATGAAAAAGAGGTTATGGAGTAGAATAATGCTTATTTCACTAATCTCAGTCCTCTGAATTTTAATATTGAGCAATTTTAATAGCCGTTAAAAGTTCGTCGACTACATAAATAATGCTAAGGCTGGTTGTTTGGGTCTACATTAAGAAACCTAAATCATGTATCGAAAAGAAGTTCATAAAGAAAGGAAGACGAAATTTGCAGTATAAAATGATATCATTCTATTTCACAGGTTCTCATCAGCTGCAGACTACCTGAAATTACAATGGTTATATAGATGATAATAACATACTTTAATGTTCGAGTGGTGGTAGAAAAGAGATACTATAAAATTGACGCATCTAAATGAAAGCATTACAATGTTTTTAGTTTAAGTTTTCATCATCAATTTATACGCTTTTAAAGTTGAAAAGAGGGGGAGGGGTAAGAGAGAAAACAGAAAAAATTGATTAACAGAACAGTGTTAGCTTTTAGGTTCACATAGCAACTCAAGAAACAAAAACGGTTACAGTTTATGAGATTAAGATTTGTTCAGTGAGTTGAGATCACTGAATTAGATGACTAATCAAAATCAAAATTCTGTTACCAAGGGAGTGAGAGGTTAATCACACTCTCTTTCTGTATGCATAAGTCTGGTTTAAGTCTTTTGATTGCGATTGCTTCGGCAAATCGTAGTAAATTTGCTGTCCTTTGTCTATTTAATATTTTGAAGGACTTAGAAATCTCTACGAGATGTCCGGTATCAATAATGTGTCTGGTAATTGCACTCTGGGAATATCTGCTTCCTTTCAGGCACAGGTTTTTGGGAATATGTTCAGAAAACCGGATAGAAGCCCTTCTTTCTGTCCTTCCAATGTACTTGCTCCCGCAAGTGCACGTGAATTCATAAACGCAGTTGGAGGTGACATCAGCAGGGTATTTATCCAGTTTTGAGTGGATTAAAGAAGGAGTGGTGCTGTATACTGTTATGAGTTTTGCTGCTGGGAAGCTTCTATTTATTGCACCTTTCAGTCTTTTGTCAATCTTTTGTGACACTGCATCTCCTTTGTATGGTAGACAGATAAACACTTTTTTCTTTTCTACAGTTGGATGCTTTTCTTTCTCATCTTTTTCTCTGCTGTACTTCTGAATAAATCCCTTAGGGTATCCATTTTCCCTTAGGCATTTCTCGACGAAAACTAATTCTTCTTCGACCCTGTTTGGTGAACATAGCTTCCTGGCTCTGTCATACAAAGTCCTCACTAATCCACGTTTATAGCTTATGGGACAAAAGCTGTTATAGTGAAGATATTGTCCAGTCCAGGTTTCTTTTCTATAGATGGACTTTTCGACCGTGCCTTCGTTTGTTCTTTTTACATTTAGATCCAGGAAATTGAACTCATTATTATGTTCATATTCCATGGTGAATTTGATATTTGGATGTATCTCATTTAGGCGATCATATAGTGCCGATGCGTGATCCATATCGTTGCAAACAACAAATGTGTCATCAACATATCGGCGATAGTAGGTAGTTCCATTGATAGCAGAACTTAGTTGTGTCTGCTCAAGGTAGCCCATGAAGATATCAGCCAGGATAGGTCCCAGAGGCGAACCCATCGCGACCCCATCGGTTTGTCGGTAAAGTTGATTGTTGAATTTGAATTGTATATCTTTTGTGCAGAGCAGTAGAAGTCGCTTCATCTCTGTTTCCGGTAATGGTAGTAGATCCGTTTGTTTACAAATTATATCAATTGTTTCCATCAGTGGTACATTTGTAAACAAGGAGGTCACGTCATACGATACCATGAGTTTGTCTGATATGTCGATATTGTCAACTTCCTTGGAAAATTGATAACTATCCTTCAGGCTGTGGGTTGCAAATTTAATTCGAATGGGCTCTATAGAATCAGCTAACCATCGAGCTAGCTTGTGGCATGGTGAGTCAATCATTGACAGGATTGGTCTTAATGGCACATTTGCTTTATGAATTTTTGGTAGGCCGTACATAGACGGCAGGCGTCCACCTTTTGACTTCAGTTTATTATATGTTTCGCTGTTGATTAGTTTCTTCATTAGAAGTTCTTTGAGACATTTATTAACTTTATTTTCAAATGACGTTGTGGCATCTTTTTTGTTGTCTACTTGGAATTTTTCTTTGTCGTTTAGAATTGTCATCATTTTATGTATATAATCAGCTTTGTTCATTATAACAACCCCAGAGCCTTTGTCAGGTCTAAATATGACGATTTCATCGTTTTCATATAGTTTCTTCAGAGCTATTCTATGCTCTTCGGTCAGCATCTTCTGCTTCTCCATTGGTGATATGTGGTATTGGTTAGCAATATCAACAAGTTTAGACTTTAGCCATCCTCTTTTATCTTCGTCTAAGGGCTTCAGGTCGTAGAGTTGATGGTATAAGTGCTCGAATTGTGCTTCTGTGTCTATACGACTGATGTGCTTCTTGGGGACGTGAAACTTGAATCCTAGAGATAAGGCTTCTAATTCGATTTTGTTTAATTGTAATTTTGATAGGTTACAAACGTAGCGTTCAGGTGCTTCTGGGATTTCTTCAATTAGCTTCTCTTTCACCAACGCTTTTGTCAGCTGAGTTTCATAATCCTCGGATGTTTTTGATTGTAGCTCTTTGATAAAGCTCATGAATTTAAGCCAGCAGATAATATTAAGCTCACTTAGTAGGGTATCATAGGTAGCCAGACGAGATTTCAATTCGGAGATATACTGGTATGACGATTCGATGTGAGATTTAGTTATTCGACGGAGATTTTTTTGAGAAGGTGGGAGTTTAGCGGATCGCACTTGTTTCAGGAACTGCCGTGAGAAACAACCAGTTTGCAAACACTGTTCATAGAACCTGAACTTTGTTGATTCTCTAGATATTCTGCAACGTATGGTCACCACCTGATTCAGTGACTTAATAGTTGGAGCAGGGAGGCGTCTTTTCAAAAAATTCATACATTTGGTTCCCTTGATAAATTTCCATAAAGAAAGGAAGAAGAAATTTGCAGTATAAAATGATATCATTCTATTTCACAGGTTCTCATCAGCTGCAGACTACCTGAAATTACAATGGTTATATAGATGATAATAACATACTTTAACGAGAAACAGAGATCGTTGCGATGGGTTCGCCTCTGGGACATATCCTGGCTGATATCTTCATGAGCTACCTTCAGCAGACACAACTAAGTTCTGCTATCAATGGAACTATCTACTATCGCCGATATGTTGATGACACATTTGTTGTTTGCAACGATATGGATCACGCATCGGCACTATATGATCGCCTAAATGAGATACATCCAAATATCAAATTCACCATGGAATATGAACATAATAATTAGTTCAATTTCCTGGATCTAAATGTAAAAAGAACAAACGAAGGCACGGTCGAAAAGTCCATCTATAGAAA